AGACACTGAAATTTTGATACTCCCGTAGTATGTGAACCAAGATGGCGGACACTGGAACGTAGCATGTGCACCAGGTTAGGATTAGGTCATATTTTTAGGTACAAATACTACGGAAGTCACTCGACTAATCCCCGAACTCGTAATAGAACTAAAATAAAGAAAATTGGAATAAAATTATGGCCTAATGGGGACTCCCGTAGTATTTGTACCTAAAATTATGGCCTAACTATAACCTGGTACACATACCACGTCCCAGTGTCTAACCTGGTACGCATACGGCGTTTCGGTGTCCGTCATCTTGATTCACGTAGTACGGAAGTATCAAAATTTTCACGTAAAATGTGCCGTTTTTTCTAAACCAAAAAAGATTGACACGAGCTTAGGCGTACGGCATAGGCCAACACGCCCGTTTTCTGCCGGTAATTTCAACATGTTTTTCCTCTAATTTCAAATAGAGTAGAGAAACCATATATTTGGAGAGCCATGCAGTTAAAAATTGCAACATTACTTCGATGCTGATGTTTTGAAACTGATTATTGAATAGAAATTTCAGGGAAGATAAACCTCCAAAACTGATTATCAATTGGAGTAAGTTGCATATTGAACGAAAGTAAATAAATATTTATACACTTTAGATCAGGGGCGTTCAAACTGCGGCCCGCAAGGAAAAATTGTGCGGCCCCAGAGAAGTGCCAATTTTTAAAGAAGTGCCTGCGAAACGAGTTTTAGTTCAGATAATCTGGCGCGTGCGAGCAATTTCGATTATTTTTGCGTCGCAAAGCCTATACCAGTACATGAGTGCCACTGTCCTATTAGTAAAACTAGCTAGCAAAATACACGGTGTTGCAAAAAGGTGTTTCTCACTGAATTCGTTTGAAGTCGGTGTGACAATGAATGTGAATAGCAGTTTTCTTCAGAAATTGATGCTCATCATTTTTGCAAGGTCCCCTAACAATGCCGTAAGATCAATAACAAAAAGAAACAATTTTTTGTGCCTGTAACTACTAAAAAAGCTATCTTAAATAAAGGTGCGGCCCGTGGCGTACTGGCCTTCCGGCAATAAATGTTACATACCCCTGCTTCAGATAGTTAATGCTAAGTTATATTTTATCAAACTAAACATGAATGCTAGTACTGCTTGCGCTTGTTGTCGAGAGTTCCAGGCCTTACTTTTAGCAAACTTATATATATATAAAAAAGCACTCACCCGCATTTTCGACACAGTTGGTGGTCTGCAGAAAATTATGTCAGTGTTCACCCGTTCTCCCCGACGCTAACTCCCTGTACACTCAAATAATCTACGGAAACCTAAAGTCACCCAGCATGAAAAAAGACTGCATTTCTGAACTGAAACTACAAATCGGCTCACGTGCTTCATAGATTCGAGTATATACTATGGCGTCATAATTATTTATTACACTATTGTGAAGGTTGCCACATTGGATAATTTTTGATACGAACATAAAGTAGTATAGAGATGGAGGATGGTAAATCATATTGACAAATTTTTCACTTGATGAGACTTAGGATAGGATTTGCATATTCATCCGATGCTCGTCCGGTTACCATTCCATGTCGGGTATGGGATTAGTTAGGTATTTGTTTCCGGAAGCATGGACTTGATGGTGGAGGAAGCCGTAACCGATCATCGGCGGCGAGGAGTCCAGCAATCCTCTCGCACATAACCATGCCGTATTTTTAGCTCTTAGCACTACGAGCCACACCGCCGCGCCTTCGGTACTTCAATGCACATGCACTAAAAACGAGCTTTCCATGACACCTATCACGAGTTCGGTGACTACCGTAGTATTTATACCTAAAATACGGCCTTACCCTAACCTGGTACACATACGTTGAGGTGTCTGCCATCTTGGTGCACATACTTCTGCAAGTACTCCACATACACAAAGACTTCATTCACAACCTATATACTTTCTGACAAACCATTTATTATACTTTATTTGCATGCATGATAAACCTGGAAGGCACATTTCATAACAGGAAATATCTTTTAAAAATGAACTTCAAGAAGAAAAAATATTTACATTAACAGAAATACCTACGGAGCCAAGCACAGCTACAATAAAATAAATGGAAACCCACCGGACCATTTCGAAATTACGAAAATCGGTAGAGCATACATGCACTTTGCACAATCAACCAATCTGGTTTTGGACCTCCAGAAGTATGCGCACCAAGATGACGCACAACCTGAACATAGTCTTGTGTACCGGTTAGGATTCAGATTGTGCGACATCTTGGTGTGCATATTCTGGAGCACCCTGGTTAAATGTAAATGTGACCTTAAAATGAGTAAATAAAATCGGGAGAAAAAGTTCTTGGAGCAATAACACCGAAGCATAAATATTCATTTTCTGGCAATTCAATAGTTCAAAAAATTATTTGCATGGAGAATAAACAAAACAAAAAAACGGAAGACATAACAAAATAATCAGGGATGGGTTGAAATAAGGAAAAAAAGTCAGGATTTGATACATGGAGGTGCCGGTGAAGAGCAAACGCATATTAACACTAGGAATATAAAATTGTATCTGGAGTTTCACTGTATGTGCATAAGCTTGTGATCCTCCTTTGAGTCTTAACTAAACCATGAAACACAGTCTAAGAAAGCTTGACTTAGAGCTATATTAATAACGGAGCTTAAAATCTAGTGTTCAACCCCTATTGCTGCAACTATGATGTAATAATTCAGATTGAGGAAGATTTCGATACCACCAAAATACATAATAGCTCCTCGCATATCAGCTCCTCCTGTATGGAGTGAAGGCGTGAATATGCCTTATGCAGTGGTTCCCAACCTTCTATGGCCCTTCCCGGAGGTTTTTAGCACTCATGGCCCGGTTTATCATTCCAGTGGTATTAATAGTGTGTATTTGATTGGAAGATTTCAAATCCCATTATTTTCAAACAATTCATGCTCAACAAAGTAAAAACACTCTGTGAAATACCCCTATCAGGCAATGAAACTAGGAAGAAAAACTAACATCAGTTGTGCGCCTAGCATGGTGGCCCCTTCCAACTGCTTTGTGGCCCCTTTGGTGGGCAACTGGCCCCCAGTTGGGAACCGCAGCCTTATAGCATGCTTTCCTTTGCAACGTGTTTCAAGAAAAAAAAAATGAAAAAAATATACTAATAAAGGAATAGACACTATTATTGCTCCAAACAGATGAAAAACATATTTGATCAAAATTGCAAACAAAAAGTATAAACACAAAAAACAATAATATATTTCAATCAAACAATTTGGGCGAGACTTGGATCCCTATGCCAGGGGTGCTCCCGAAGTATGCGAACCAAGATGGCAGACATCGGAACGTAACATGGGTAACAGGTTAGGCCATAATTTCTTTCCAATTTTCCTTATTATAGTCCTATTATCAGTTCGAAGACTAGCCAAGAGCCTCCCGTAGTATTTATACCTAAAATTATGGCCTAACCCTAACCTAGTGCACATATTACATTCCGATGTCCGCCATCTTGGTTCGCATACTTCGGGAATCCCTTAGGGATCCAAGCTTGTTTTTATAAACAATAAAATTATTGATTGTAATAGCTAATCATAAAGAAAACCATGGCCTATCACAGTCAAGTGAATATACTCTCTGTCCCTTTATACAACTTGATAAAGTAAGCGAACAAAACTAGTTTCCTCCATATTGGTACACACACTTCTGGAGGGCCATTTTTCTGCTCAGAAAAGATATTCTGGTAACACTTTGAATTACACTTATTTGCTAAAAATTGTGATTATTGCTTTTTTTGTTATCAGAAAATAAATAAAAACTATCAATTCAATATACTACATACACAACTATATCTACGAAAAATCTAAAGATAAAAAAGTTACTACTAATGAAAATGATTTTCAAAAAGGCACTCTTGGTATTCATGGCACGGGAGACAAACGTGTAAAGTGTGTGTTTCAAGTAATGAGACCAATAACAGCAAATATTAGACTTGCTTGGTGATTTAAAACTGCCGTATACAGCATTAAAAATAGTACGTTAGAGACAGTCTCAGCTTATAGTAGTTACTCGAGAATTCCTCAAATTCACAATTTTTGAAAAATGTTCTAAAATATGCATGAAATGGATAATTTACAATGATGAGCATGTTCTTTCTATCAGTGAAACGTTTCAGGGACCCTTTTTTCTGCGATAGCCCTATATATTGGTAAATACTGCCGTCCTTGGTCACAATGTGGAAATAATATGTCGCTTAGGGCAATCAGAAACAAACAAAAGGTTTTAAGCTAGTAATTTTGTAAATAATGAAATTCGCATAATCAGTTAATATAGTTAAAAGCCAAATAAACTTGCCTAATATACAGCAATACAGATGTACTCGATCCTTTGTTAAGCGAGTCATTTTGCGTTGCACTGTCATATGGACTGAGATGCACATATTGAATGTATTAGGGAGAAAAATGGCATGCAACCTTCCCATATAGACAGTTACAGGAATTCTGTTTCTTTTTCTATGAGTGATGACAGGATAGATTATAAATACCTAGCTGTTATGTTTCTGAATGATATTATTATGAAGATATTACTTCTTAATCATTGTTTCTTCAAATCAAGAGAGACCCTTTTGACGCTACAGGACATAAATTGGTTGAATACAAAATATCTTTTAGCATAGGGTCACCATATTTCAAAAAGCAAAATTCCGGACAGTGCATGACTATTTTCATGACCTCGTAGTAAAAAATATGCGCACGGCACGAAAAAACAATGTTCTGTATTAGCAGTGTGCACAGTATGATTGCAGATGCAGTAAAATTCCGGATTCCGGACATTTGAGCATTTTTTAAATTGTTCCCGGACGCAAAATTTAACCGTAAATTCCGGACATGTCCGGACATGTCCGGAATTTTCCGGACGGTATGGCAACCCTATTTTAGCATAATATAACGACGGTAGTAAGTATATGGTGCCACCAATATTAACACACCCTAATAATATGTTAGTATCGTTTCCAAATGCATTCCTGAAATGATTTTATCCTGTCATTTAAAATGTTTTTTCAGAAATTTAGTTTCGAATATTTGCACTGAAAAAGGAATGAAAAGCTCCGTTTAAAATTTCTGTTTGTTCATGCACAACAAAGAATTTAAGCAAGAAATGTAAAAAATATGGCCACCCAATGTACCTTGCAGACATGTGAGATCAGATTAAAAGATTTCACTTGTATTAGGAGTCATACGTTTATTGTTTATTTAAGTTAGATACCGATTTAAGCTTAAAGTATTAAAAGGCAAACCACTGAGCTTTTTTTGTCAGAATTTTGTTATATTTGTTTATTTTACTAGAGTTTGAACCAAGGTTGAAAATACATGACATTTTTGTCTGTCTAGATCTGTAAATAGCACGAGACATCAGAGCCTCAATAAGAGCCTCGATAGGTCCATGATTTCATATTATTATTCTTTCTAATTCACCTGTTTTCTGTTCTACCACCAGTCTATATTTATCGCCAGTCCCTAATGTCCTGGACAAGCCTAAAAAAGCCAGCTAACACTTGAAAGAATGCTATGCTCATGATAATATAAGGTACAACAGACTGAATCCCAGTATAAGTAGAATCCTCGTGTTCAAATTTGACTTTAAATTCTCCAGCAAATGATAAATCTCCTGCGCGATATAATGATCTGAAAAAGGAATATGAAAACATTTAGAACAGTAGTTCCCAACATCTTTCGTTAAACTCGTTATCCATGAAAACTATGTTATTTGTTCAATCTGCAACTAGTAATATGCACAAGTCTCACTCCCACTTTTATACAGTTTGAGTTAGTTTATGATGTGTGCGTAAATAAGTTATTATATTTTTCTCATTTACTTTGGGGATTTCAATTCCAACAATAATAAAAATCAAAATTTCATTTCCAGCTTTGACTACAACAAAGTTTAAAAAAAAACGTGCCGACATGTTTTTTTTAAAAATAGACCCCAATACACTAATTATAAGCGGCTGTCACTAACAATGCCGGTCACAAGGCTGCAGCTGAAAGACGAGAGAGCAAGCAAGCAATGATATTCTAGTACAAGATGACCCCAAAAACAAGACCCGGGTCATTTGAAACATATTCTAGAGCAAACATAACTTTTGCAATTAACTTCCTTTTCTAACTTCCTTTGAAATTTACAAAATATAAACCCAATGTAAAATCTCTATCAGCGGTAATGCAGCAGCAGAAGTCTAACTGGTATTTTCCAAAATAGTGAATTTGCCTGTACATGTTTAGAAGGTTTATTATTGTGTATTTTTATTTGAAAGTAACAAAGCATTGTTTTTAATTTTGGTCGGCACGCGAGAGAATTTTGTCGTTAAATTCAGCCGATTTTGGCACGCGAGCTGAAAGAGGTTGCTCACCCCTGTTCTGGAGCGGACATAACTTTTGTGCAAAGTGTCATAGATTACTGAAATTTTGGGTACAATCTTCCAAAAACAGAAAGTCGAGTGTTGAATAAATTTACTTCATTTTTGTAGGAGTAACAAATTAAGTTCTTGTATTTGATCCCCATGATTTGGTTTATACATTTATTTGTTTATTCTTGCAGTTGAGATTCTTGGTAGATATTGTTTCCAAAATTATTTTAAAGTTTTATAACCCTCGCTTCTACTTACATGTAATCCGAATGATTCTCTCCACACACACTTTGTCCGTTTGTCTCCGCGTTGTGTCATGTAATAGCGCCCACTAGTTCATGGACTTGGTGAAGGTAATGACTTCTTAGAGGTAGACCAAAAGTACGCTCGAGAGGAATGGCACTGCACTGAAAAATAAAAGATAAGGTATTTGGGCCGTCACCATCAGCAAAATCATGTTTACGATAGCTTTTGCACAAGCTCTTCAGAAACTATAAAACATAATTTTTTTTAAAATAGCAAAATGTGGGGTGAAACAACGTGAATTTGTAGAAAACTTCAAAAATATATAGAAGTGCTAGACAGTTTTTGAATTTGCATCTCCAAGTCTTAAAAAATTAAAAGTCATTTATTCAGGAGTGACATTTTCTTCTACGAACCACAACAACAATTTAACGAAACACTGAATATTGTTGATGCCGACAACAAATTTTAGCCTAGTCTCTCGCAGCTTTTTCGGGACTTTCCTTCTCTTCAAAATAAACAAAGAATACCGATCCTTACATTCCTAGAAGCAGGAAGACTAAAGTTCAATTAATCCAGGGAAAAGTGACATTTTGTATCACGAACCACACCAACATGACCAAGAACATTCAGTATAACATTGCATATCATCGCAGCCAAACCGAATTTACTCATGCCACATTTCAAGATTTTGAGACATCGCATTCAAAGTTTGATATAGCCAAACCCAAAAATGGACAAAAGACAATATCTAAAATCAAACACAAAACATGTTTCTGGTCTATGATAGCAGAAGATCAAAAAGAGTCCATTTCTTTGGTTTTACTGCGGCGTCCAGTGATTCGTGACTCATGTTGTTATCTCCACACTAAAGTTCAATATCTCATGAGTTTCCTGATCAAAATCGTAATAATAAATACCGAATACTATTCCTTAAATTCCTAGACGTAGGAAGACTAAAGTTTCATTTCTCATCTTTTTCGTAATCAACATATATCCCCTCCCCCCACCCCCCCACCCCCCCCCCTAACCCGATTCGCCTAACCGGAACCTGTTACCCATGTCACGTTCCGATGTCCGCCATCTTGGTTCGCATTCTTCGGGAGCACCAAAAAAAGATATAGAATACTATTTCTTACATTCCGAGAAGCAGGAAGACTAAAGTTTAATTTTTCATCTTTTTCGTAATCAAAATCCTCTTCCCAAGGTTTAAATCTAGATATTTCTCCAACCGGTAACAAATGTCCTTCCGTTGTGAAAATCCAGCTTAGTTGTTTGTTGTTTACTGGGTTTTCGACATCAAAAAGCTGAAATAAAACAACACCCTATTGACACAAGGAATTAACAGCACAAACTAAAAATATCCAATCTAAATGATTAATTGCATCAGTGCAAGAGTCCCCTAATACAGTATTTTTGCCACAATTGCGGTATTCGACTTTAAAGGTGACTTTAAAATTGGAAAATCGAAATAAATTTTCATACATTTCCAACACAGATTTTAAAACTTAAGCATTAGTCTTGTTTGAGTAGTTATTGGATAGGATAGGATTTACATATTTATTTATATTAAGGAGAGAAAAAAGGTAAGATGGCTTAGCTTAAACATATGGCGAACCACGGCCTCTCGTCCGGTAATCAGGCCATGTCAAGTATGGGATTAGTTAGCCAGTTACCAGTTTCAGAAGATGAACTTGATGGCGGAGAGATCCGTCCATAACGAACAGCGATTACGTGAACCACCCTACAGCGGCAGGGAGTCCAGCAATCCTCTCGCACATAATTATTGTCACAAGAGTTAATGCTGCCAACACACATAGAGTAATCAGAGTCGCGATGCCGAGCGTATACCTCTTAGCACAATGCGCCAAATTACCTATTGTGGAGCAGAAAAAACTTCACTGGAAACTCACCAGATATAAATATTTACAAGTTTCACTAAGAAAAAAAGATTCCATTCTGTCTTCTTGTGATTTATCCAGAACATTGTGAAGTGATGCATATCCGCAATGCGTTCGAGCGTGACGATTTATAGATTGCAGAATTTCTTGACCGACATGAAGATAAAAAGGATTTTTGGTCGCCTGAAAAAGAGGGAAAATCTTGTGTGTTGAAATAACCAATAACTATCTTTTCCAACACAACCATAGTTAAGTAGTTCACAATTGGGGGCACAGCGAAGTTTACAGGGATCACAGAATGCTAGCGTAAAACTTATTTTACTTTTCCCTTCAAAAAAAAACTTTCTGTTCTTCCCAGTTTCATTTCTTGTTAATTACCACTGGAATGATAAACAGGAACCTATGAGTGTTAAAAGCGTTCGAAAGCGCCATCGTCAGCGACCTCCTTGTGTCTGCTGAAATAACGACTGTAGTTTTTATGGATATCAATTTTGTTGAAAATATCGAAGAAAATAACGTCATAATGACCCTGATTGTAACTTTGTGCTTCTCACCACTATAAAAACGTTAGCCTAGCTGTTGTAAATAAACTGTTTTCTATTCATAGTTTTTTCATATTGAGTTTTTAGACACCGGCCCAGTAACCATTATCTGTACCTGGCCCGCCCAGAGAGGTAATTGCCAATTCCTGATGTATAGAGTGCTAGGGGTCGATCACACATAAATTTTCCTATAATTTCATGGCGCAAATATTAAGAGCCACTTACAGGGTTTTCTCTCAAATACACCACAGTAAGAACACATCATAACTTACTTGATATAATAAATAAGTGCTTTCCACGAGTTCTGGTCTCAAAGGATAAAAACGAACGTCAGGCATTTTTAGTTTCCAATTGAATCTCTCTGGTAGCGCATCATAGCGTTTCCATATTGCATAATATAAAGCATGACAACATATGGCTTCTTCTATGTCTCCACTCAGCACCTGATATGCGAAATTTTGAAAAATAAAGGGAGGAAAAAATTGTATTAAAATACGTCGAATGTCGAATGCAAATCGACAATTATATTTATTTCAGAGCTGATCAAGTTCAAACTGGGGATTCTGACCCCTCGGTGTGGGTCACAAAAAAGCTCAATGGGGCAAGAGCCAATACATGACAGCATATGGCCTCTTCTATGTGCCCACTTAGCACCTAAAAATAGGCCTTACTTTGTAAAAACAAAAATGATGAATCACTTGGGGAATATGAGCAAGAATTGTCACTGTTTGTAAAAAAAATGAATCAAGCAAACCCAGGGGTGGGCAACATACGGCCCGCGACGAGATTTTGACCAGCCCGCTGACTGTACATCAGTACATTATGATAAATTCATTATGTGTTTTTCATCTCTATTTTTGTAAAGTTTAAACTTTACTTTGAACGCGATTTATAACTTCGTGCATTAGCGAATACATATGTGATCAAGATGTTGAACACTATTCATGTTATAATCCGGCCCACCGAGGACTACATTTTCCCACATCCGGCCCGCCAACTCGAGAAGTTGCCCGCCCCTGATGTAATCCAGAGGTGGGCAAATTATGGTTTCATCTAGGTCATTTGTGTCTGCTAAAATTAAGACAATAATATTCAGGGATATACCGTAAGTTTTTGTTAAATATCAATGAAAATACCATCAAAATGACTAGATTGTTACATTGTGTTTCTTCAAATAACATGCTTTGTTCGCATCACACTAGCTAACTGTCAGGGAATTGTAACGTCATAGGCACATAAGATAAATTGGACTCAGTTATATTCTTTACAATGCAAAGAGATTGGAATCACTCTTACCTAACCGATTGAACTAAATTAGAAACTCGTTTTGCGGGCCGCACCGCCTAATTTTTTCTTGCGAGTCGCATTTGGCCTGCGTGCCGCAAATTGCAGATCCTCGGTTTAAGGAAAACATCTCCCAGTTTTCACGAATTTTTTTGGACAAAAATGCTTTAATAAAACTATATAACTCACCAATAATCCAGGTAGAAATGCTTGCAATGAATCGACCCATGTATTCAGCATATATCCATTGGTGATATCTACGTTGACATAGATAGGAGGGTCGCCATAACCACTGTTGCAATGCTCTCGCCTAAAAGAAAAATTATTGGATCGACTAGGATTGAAAATTTAAGAATAATTTCTTGGTACTCTCGGAGTATGTGTACCAGGTCAGGGTCCTGACATAATTTTACTCCGATTTTCCTTATTTTAGTTCTTTTACGATTTCGAGGACTGTCTGTGTTAGCCAAGTGAATAGGTTTTCAGTTCCTTTATACAACTTGATGTATAGTGCGCAAACAAAATTAGTTACCTCTATATTGGTAAACACACTTCTGGTAGCGCTTTGAAAATTACAGCGAATATCATACATGTTTACATTTAAGATACATTTGAAAGGTTTCACATATATCCATGTGATTTTTGAATTTTCACATAACACATCAAGCTTAGCCCCTTCTTAAAAACTTATTAACATTTTGCATAGCATAGAATATTATTCTGATATACTGATAATTACTGTGAATATCATATTATGTGTTTACATTTGAAAATTAGGTAACTGTAGCATGTATACCAAGTTAGGGTTAGGCCATTATTTCAGGTACAAATACTACAGGAGTCACTTGGCTAGTCCCCGAACTCGTAATAGAAGTAAAATGAGGAAAATTTGAATAAAACTATGGCCTAACCCTAACCTGTAACACATTCTACGTTCCGGTGTCCACCATCTTGGTTTGCATACTACAGGAGTACCAAAAAATATTTGAAAGGTTAACACATATATTTATGTGACTTTTGACCAATTTTCACATATCACACCTACCCCCTTCTTAAAAAATTCTTAACATTTTGCATAGCTTCTGTGAACATATGGAGATCTTCTTCATCCCCAAATAATATGTGAGCCTGAAAGACAATATAAATTGATATTTATTAGTGTCTAATGCAGTTGTTCGGAACTTTTTAAGCCGCGCCCCTTTTTAGAATTTGTCAAGTATAGGTAATGATAAGCTACATAGGCGCACATTTAAAAAAAAAAAAAATTGAAAACACATGGAATGAACGTAAATATCCAGAAATGTAAATATTCAATATAAGGCGGGCAATATCAAATCTAACAAATAATTTTATTTTTAATTAGCCTCACGCCCTCTCAAAAAATTGTCTATGGCCCATCCCTCCTCACACCCCCTAGCCCACTCCACCATTCGAGAACCACTGGTCATAAATCAAGGTAGTGCTAGTCGCTCTTGGTATTTTAACTTAAATCAGAGACAAGTCTACTCTTCTGATCATGTTATATAAATGAATACATCTCAATTTAATGCAAAATAAAAAGCTAACCCACTGGTTCTCATTTGCTGGGCCACAAACCTATTAATAAACGCTAGAGTTATTGATAAATTTAGTTAAATTGGTGGCAGTAGTAATGAATGACAATGCAGTTTATGCTACAAAGCGGCATTCATCATTCCAATTTTTCATTCTAAGTAAATGTGTCTATTTTTGCAAAAAGAGTTTTTTGCTTTTCTTGTAATTCTTCCCCTGCATGATAAGTTAACGAGCCCGAGAACTTTTGTGCAACACAAACGGGACATTTGGTTGAGAACCACTGAGCTAACCGAATATTTCCGGCTGACATTGCCTACCCTGGATGAGGTGGTGGACATTGGATTTGCATTCAACCTGTAATGCCAACTTAGTCAAGTTCAACATTTTAACCAAGAGTGTATCCAAGATTTTTCAAAAGAGGGGGTTCTGAAACTGCTACGAAATATCACTTATGATACAGAAAAATCGGACTTCCTGAAGTATGCGCACCAAGATGGCGCACAACCTGAACTCAGGTTGTGTACCAGGTTAGGGTTCAGGTTGTGCGATATCTTGGTGCACATACTTCAGGAGTACCAAAAAATCTTTTTTTTTACATTTAAACAGGGAGGATTTTCTGACCCACAAGCCCCCCGGGTACGTCCCTGGCTACAACCACAACACAACTGCACCCATATGAAATAAAATATATAAGACTTGATATCTCAGACTTGAGATCCTACCTTTAATAAATATTCAAAATAAGAATCTATTCCAGCTCCCACACCGCTGAGTCTGCTCGTCCATTTTCCTGTGTTCACATCAATTGCAAGACCTGGGTAAAGTAATGTATTGGTGATTTAATGCAGTGGCCCGCGAGCCAAATGGGGCCCATGAGGAAAAATTGTGTGGCCCACGTGTGCCAATTTCAAATGACCTGCGGCCCGCGAAACAAGTTTTTAATTTCGTTTGATCGGGTACCAGCGAGTAATCCCAATTCCTTTGCGTTGCAACACTTATACCAAAATCAAATTTCTTTATTATGCCTATGATGTTAAAATGTTCTAACAGTTAGCTTGCCCAATGCGAACATTGCATGTCATAAGATCAATAAGCAAAATTTTTTTGCAAGCAACTACTTGAAAGCATATGGGCCATTCCAAGCAAAAGTTGAATTCCATCATTTTTTAAAAAGTGTAGTGAAAGTAATTTTTTTTATTTTTGATACCAAAAGACATTGGAATTTTATTGGACTACATTGATTTCATCGAACAATTTAAAATTTCACCCAGGTTTTTGATGGTTTATAAAAAATGGCCTGAAATGTAGAAATTTTGGTATATTTGACATATTTTGTGATGATTCCTGACACAAAATGTTCGATTGTGTGGTACAGTTATTTCCCATGGAATCGACGCACTGGATTTAAGTTAATAAAGTTTAAATGTTTGCAGTGCTGTAGGACATTTCTTCACCCATTTAACGATTTATTACCAGAATTTTAAGAGATGATAGAGGCCGCTATTTCGAAGTGGAAAAATGTCCTGTAGTGTCACGTCCTGTAGTGTCACATATAATATGCACATTATTGGCATGGATTTTCAGTGTTACATAAGTAACTTGAGCAACACATAGAGGGGTAGTTCAGCTACTGCACCAGAAAATATTATGGGCTCCTACTGTACCATCGCAAAAATTTACAACACAACACAACGTACTGTTAGTGCATGGTGGATTTGCCGTCCTGTAGTGTCACGCTATATTTTACTGTTTTTTTTTATCTACTAGGTAAGGTTGGGTGTAACTTTTGTGCAATTCTTTACATATTCAATAAAGCAACTGATTGGACAATGAAACAAAACATGTAGCTGAAAATGTGAAAATATATTGAATTTAACAACATGCCAAATTTCGGGAATTGTCCTGTAGTGTCACTTGGAATAGCCCATATGTTAAATAAGGGTGCAGTCCGCTAACTAATCCCAAACTCAACATGAATTGGTGACAGGACGAGATGCTGTGGTGCGCCACATGATTAATCCGTTTGCCGACTTTCCTCTCCCTAAGATAAAAATGATGACTTACCAAGCAGTCCAGTTGTTCCATGTCTTCTTTTCCAAATCTCTCGGACAGCTCTCCTTGCAGAATTCTCAAAAGTTGGATCTCCGATCAACCTGCTCAGCATTCCAAATTCAAGGAGAAGACTTCCAGCACCAGCAGTTGCTGTATCAGTCAATGTATTCTTGGGTACTCCATATTGTAAGTTAACCTGAAATAGTTGAGAAAATTAGTAAATATAAACAGGCGAATCATTTTCATTGATGGAAAATTGCAACAATCTGTTTATTTTACTGAAATCATAATATACAATGTTCGGTACTCCTGAAGTATGCGCACCAAGATGTCGCATAACCTGAAACACAACCGGAGTTCAGGTTGTCCGCTATCTTGGTGTGCATACTTCAGGAGGTCCCAATGTTATTAGGATTTACATATTTATCCCGGGAAAAGAATACCTATAGGACGGTTTAATCCTATGGCAACCCACTACCAGTCCATGTCGTGTATGGGATGAGTTTGCAAGTAACATGTTTTTGGAAGCATGGACTTTTTTCAAGAAAAGGTTTTTGGCTGTACTCAATTGCCTGTGAGCTTTCATTTACGTACTGTCAGTGTACCCGCCTAAATAAAGAGCTTTGTATGCCAAGTGGTTTAGTAAGAGTTCATCGCTCCAAAGTATGTGTACCGGTACCGATATGGAGGTAACTAATTTTGTTCGCCTATTTTACATCAAGTTGTGTAAAGGGACTGAAACCTATGGGCAGGTATATATTTACTTGGCTAACACAGACAGTCCCCGACACCTAAAATAAGGAAAACTGGAATAAAATTATGGCCTAACCTTAATCTGGTACACATACTACGGGAGTATCCCCTCATCAACATACCCTCGGATACGGAATTCCATTCGGCGTATTTTCAAACGCTGTCATCAATCGTACTGCGAGATCGTGGGCAAGTGAGAGAAGTTCGTTGTCATAATCCACAGGTCGGAGGTCACCAAAAGGTTGTTCTGGGTCATTGATTATGAGATGAGCAGATAAGAGAGAACCGAGGACCCTGGATATAGAAATGATCTAAATTATATTACGCACTTCCAATGGGGCTTTTAATTTAATTAATTTTTCTAGGTTTTTATTGAGATAGTTTAGTGAAAACATCAAACTTCAATTAATCAAACAACGCAAGCAAAAGCAACTCATCATTTTTTCGTTCTAACTCTGGCACGACTGACTTTTTTATTGGCTGAAAAGCAATCTTGACTGGATATATACATATATAAGGTACTATGTACTGGGATTGGGAATAAAACCGTACTGCTACCTGGACAAGCGTAACCGATAAGGTAGGTCACCGTTTACTGGTAATGTTAAAAAGACAGTAGGATTGAAATTCTACAATTTCAAATTTTTTAAATTACATATGTGAACCTCGAATGTCGCTGCTCAATAACCAACTTTGGTTTCCTGCGACTTCCCTTCCCCAGTAAAACTGTGTAATTATCATTTTCTCATGATTTGTGTTCGCTTTTTTTTGTTTTTTACTGGTTAGAAAAAATAAACTTGACTTGTTCTTAAAAAGCATCTCTCTCTCTCTGTGAATTTTTAAACCAGAACCAAAATCGTTTTCAAATCATAAAAGTAAATCAGTTATTCACAAAGGCAATCTAAAATATTAAATCAAATTCCATTTTAAGCTTCTTTCATCAAAACTCACTAAAGCTAAGTTTGGTCATCATAATTTTTGATTAAAGTCATCTTAATCCTTTAGCTGTGGTTAGTCACGATGAGTCACAAACCTGATATTTGTCTCGAACACTTGCACAGTTGAATTTCTGTCGAACGAAACCGTTTCTAGAACAAGCTGAACAGCATTCTTGAACTCTGTGACATTACCAAGTATCTAGGAAAAAAGTAAACTTCAAAAATTTGAAATATGTTGCAAATATCTTACAGTTCAAGCCTAATTAAAGTAATTAGGTTTAGTATCAATTATTATTCAGCAAGGCAGTTTCCTACAGTTAATTTTAGAGTCTAATTAAACTAATTACGTCAACTATTATTTAACAAGGCATATTCCTACAGTTAATTTTAAAGTCTAATTAAACTAATTACGTTTAGTATCAACTATTATTTAACAAGGCAGTTTCCTACAGTTAATTTCGAAGTCTAATTAAACTAATTACGTTTAGTGTCAACTATTATTTAACAAGGCATATTCCTACAGTTAATTTTAAAGTCTAATTAAACTAATTACGTTTAGTATCAACTATTATTTAACAAGGCAGTTTCCTACAGTTAATTTCAAAGTCTAATTAAACTAATTACGTTTAGTATCAACTAATATTTAACAAGCCATTTTCTTACAGTTAATTTCAAAGTCTAATTAAACTAATTATGTTTAGTATCAACTAATATTTAACAAGCCATTTTCTTACAGTTAACTCTAAAGTCTAATTAAAGTATCAATTATCATTTAACGACCAGTAGGTGCCCAGTATGGATTTCCACCGACGTTTGAGGCCCACGTCTTCTCTGGGTTACTAATGGGTAAAGGAACTGCAACTTAATTTTGAGCAATGTGCGTATCGTCGGTATTCTTGCGCAAACAATGTTGTAGCCAATAATTAAAACATGTTCACTAAAATTCTTACAAGAGAAAAGGGGACGCATGTATTGAAAAGGCAGAAATAAAAACACTAGCCCACCAAGTAAATCCATATTCATAATTTAAAATTTGAATAAATCAACTCACAGCTAATGTATCCAGAGAATCCACCAACGTCAGTGAAAAGTTTCCAAGAACGTCGTTTATATTGATATTGGATCTGAAAGAAAATACAATTCTTCGTATAGGCAGGATAGGATTCACATATTTATCCCAGGGGAAAGGAAAACCGATAAGACAGCTTAGTCATATGGCGAACCACGGCCTCTTGTCATGTTATCGGTCCATGTCGAATAGAGGATTAGTTAGCCAGTTATTTGTTTTCGAATACATGGACTTGATGGTGAAGGGAGCAATAATCGACCAGCGGTTATGCGAATTCGGGATGAACCCCAGTAAGATGACAAACATATTCCTAATGCTTAGCCGGTACGCCACACTATCGCGCCCGCAGAAAAACAAATCTATTTCCTCAAACTAAAGTGAGTCGTTAGAGTAATTCTTCAAATGACATTTACTGCCAACCTTTTTTCTTTTGTGACCCACTTTTGTTGCACAGAAAATATGGGGCTCCCGAAGTATGCGAACCAAGATGGCGGACATCGGAACGTAACATGGGCAACAGGTTAGGGTTAGGCGATAATTTTTTTCTAATTTTCCTTATTTTAGTCCTATTATCAGTTCGAAGACTAGCCAAGAGCCTCCCGTAGTATTTATACCTAAAATAAAAGGCCTAACCCTACCCTAGTACAGATATTACATTCCGATGTCCGCCATCTTGGTTCGCATACTTCGGGAGCCCCGAAAATATTGTGACTCACTTACTTAATCATGCAAAGGGAAAAGTCACAGGAAAAACAAAACAAAAAATTCTTTTCGAAAAGATAGACACTTCCTCCTAATATTTAAATTGAGAATTACCACTCATTAGCAATAAAACAGCAACAAAGTTCATTGCCAGTACAATCAAAGTTTAACCAATTTATCAATAACTCTAGCAATTTTCAATGGATTTGTAGCCCACCTAAAAATGTTTCTGCGGCCCACTGGTTCTGCTATAGCGAGAAAAAACCAAAAAAAATCTCAGACGTCCTTGCAACACATAAAGATCCAACAGTACAAGAAACTTGTAGTAAAGGATGAGCAACACAAACATGATAATAATTTGATAAGTAAACAGAACTTACGGATTCTCAATATCAGGACCACGACCAGAACATGAGATGGGATTCAACTCATCCTGTAACAAAACAAATCAGAAAACTTGAGTTGCAAAAAAATCTGAGCAAGATATATTCAAAGTAATCCTTTCTGGTAAGCGATTACAAAATTTTTAAAATGCAGACTAAAATCTTCTAGAATTTGGGACGACATAAATTATGTGCCTTCCTAATAAAATTTGAATAATACTTGTTAAGCAGGGAAGATGCTGGACAAGCTGACTTTTTTGTTAATAGATGGATTGCGCCTTTTCTTGTTCTAATATTCCATGATTTTACAACTGAACCAAATTTACTTGGATTTTTGAAGATGAAATAACAAGCAATATGACACGTATTATTGCTACACGTACACGTCAAGGAACGTACATGCAAGGAAGGACACTGGATCACAAATTACAATCTTACAATTACAATCTTACACGTACACGTCAAGGAAGGACACAGGATCACAAATTACAATCTTGTTTCTCTTTTACATTAGCAGAGAAAATGTCAAACATTGATTCATTAAACATTATGTAGATGATTATATTTCAAACGTTTTATTAACAGTAAAGGGCGCTTCCGAAGTGTGTGTACCAATATGGAGGCAACTAATTTTGTTTGCCCACAGACATTCCCTGAAATCGTAATAGAACTAAAATAAGGAAAATCGGAATAAAATTATGGCCCAAACCTAACTTGGTAAGCACACTACAGGAGTACCCAGAAATACACTGTGAAGCGGCTGCAATAGAAACCAAATTGAAGGCTTTTTTATTACTATTTGCACACTTATTCCACCTTTATCGAGCGGAGTGTGACAAGTTAGAATAATTCCATGTAAAAAAAACGAGTCGATGCTGCTTATATTCTCAGCGATTTGAAGATTTAAAACACTTACTTGTGGAAAAGCATATTTCATGTAGTTATCATATCCATAATAAAACATCTTCTTGGCTTCATTTTTGAGATTAAGTCTGTCTTTCCTCGAGAAATAATGATATTTATTTCCATAAAATTCTCGCCAGAATTCATGAGAGCTTTCATTTCCACCCGGAAAAAATTCATATTCCTCATAAAAATTATTGTCAACAGCTGTCACTTCATATATATTCAGAAGCGTTGCTATGACAATACAAATATACATCGAAAAGTCAGTACTCCCCAAAACCCCCCAAAATGTTGTGAAATTTCTATTTTATCATCTTCTTGCCCTCTTCAGTTACGATGCCAAATTTTTCTCTTCCATCGTAGTTCAATCAATATTCTATCAAATTTTATTTTAATTTCTGTTATCTGTCATAAAAAATGTCTATTAATTTCATGGGTTCGCGCTGCATCATCCTTACAAGACTTTTTGAAATTTTGAATTGAGTGTTTCGCCAAAATTTTGTTTGTGTGCCTTGGAAGTTGATAGTTTTTCAACTGTGGAGCCATGGTAATTTCTGGATTTGCTTTTTATAAAAATAGGGTGAGGTTCTTAAAACAGTAACAGCTCACAAATTGTGCTTGTGTTAGGAATAAGCCATCGCACCTCGTTTTACCCTGCGTGGGTTCGCAGGTTCGGGCCTCCTCAATTATGTGTGGGGAGATTGTTGGGCTCCTTGCCATCGTAGGGCGGTAAGTAAGGTGGTTCACGACTCACGTAACCGCTGGTCAGTTACAGCTTCCTCCACCATCAACATCAAGTCCATGCATCTGAAAACAAATAACTGGCTACCGGTACCGGTAACTACCGTAATCAGATAACCGACATAGATGGGTACCGGTAACCGAAACAAAACCGTGGTTCGTCATGTCGTTATTCCAGTATTCCGTTCTATTGGCCTTCCTCTCCCCGGGAAAAAATACCGGTACGGAAAATCCTAAACAGTTTCAAAAGCTTTCTCAATAATGCAATAGAATTGGGCAGTCAATATACAACTTACATACAATACAGTACGATACTGGTATATGGTTATTTCGTATCCTTTCTCTTATATTGTCCTCAAAACAAAACTAGAATACACGATAACTCACAAACTCGAGACAACCTCAATACAACATAGCAAATTTAATTCTGCGATGTTCCCATGGAACATTTAACAAAAATTGACCAAAATTTGAGCGAATATAACATTTTCCTGTTCATCAGTATTATAAAAAAATATTTATAAAATGTTTCTAAAATAACTGAACGGCAAAATATAAATGCGTTCGAAGATATTTTATTTATGGTATTTGCATGGGAGCACTGAATCATTTGCGAGACGTAGCTCAGGAACGTAATGGAGCGTGACAAAAATACTACAATCATTACCAGCTACCGGTAATTACTTTCCGTTTAGTATCCCTGAGATTCAAAGAATTCTAGACACACAGACTATTATTACACGCATGAATTTGCTATTTTAAATCCAATGAAGTACGATGATATGCAAAAAGGTATCTGAATTTAATTAAACTAACGGAAAATGTTGCGTGGTAAATGGATTGTTTTTGATGATACGTAGGTCAAAAAAAAAAACTTTTGGAAACCCACCTATCTTTTATGAGGGATTTCACATCGAGCAAAGCTGTGACTGATATTTTTTTTCAATTCAACCCTGCTTTACTTTTTTTTTAAACAGGATTATTACTTATCGATTTTGATCGGTATGTATGTTGATAGGTATTTGTCTGTATGTCTGTCTGTTAGATGCACGCAATATCTCACGAAAGCGAGATTGAATCCGCTCCAGATTTTGCATGTTCGTTTATCACATCTCGGATCAGAAGCCTATTGATTTTGGGCGAATTATGTCGTATAATTAGCGAGTTATTAATTAATTAGTGATGGGACACAAGGTGTCACTATGGAGTAAGAGCGCTGTTTTGGGGGATCACCTAACTTTCGATCCATAAGTCTTCTGCCTCTGACCGCTATTCTTGTTCAATGTTCTATCATTATAAACATCCTTGGATAGTCTTATCACTCTTCAAGATAAAGTTGATGACCTCAACAGTTTTCCTCCAGATAATGTATTTCATAGATGTTATCACGGAGCAAGGCTTTCAAGTCTTTACGCAAAGATAGGGCTATTATTTTTGTGTGTGGTATCATTCAAGCTTGACACTGCCTGCCTCGGGAGATGTGGTGGGCATGGGTTAGAAACTAGGATCTTGCAAATTGCGATGCTAACTTAGTTTATTACACCAACAACTTCTGGAACATTAGGATCTACATATTTATCCTAGGAAGAGGAAAGTCAATAAGATGGCTTAATCATATGGCGAACCATGGCCTCTCAGGTCGGGTATGGAATTAGTTTTTCAGATGCATGGACTTGATGGTGGAGCAAGCAGTAACCGACTATCCTTTAGGTGAACAGCGTCGAGGAGTCCAGCAATCCTTTTGCACATAACCATTCCAGTATGGGGTTCGACCCGGTAGCGAGCCATGATGCGTCACACCGCCGAGTCAAGATTTGAAGCCCGTATCTTGCAAATTGTGATTTGTGATGCCAACCTAGTTCGTTACACTAACAACTTCTAGAACATTTGCGAACAATTTTGTTCACAACACTATTCTTTCGACTCAAATCACAACACATGCTTAAGTTTTCTAATATATTTTCTGATTACCATAGAAATTGAAACGAAATTATTTGACGACAGAAAAGTTAAAACAGTGGCAGAATAAAATAATGAGAATGATGATTCAGGGATAATAATTCTGACTAATTGGCGAAGAAAGAATCAAAAAGAAATTATCATAAAAAGAAATAATTAGTAAACAGTATGTATAATTTTATTGGGCTTACAACAGGCACACAAACCGCAACTACTTACACAGTATGAAGCTACCATTTTTTAAAGGGCAGAATCTTCCCTTTTACCAACGCCAATGAAATCCTCATAGACAAAAAATAATTTTAATAATATTTCTCACCATCACTTCATACAAGCGACTAGAATCTGCCCAGTTCTACATTTTCTAGTTAATTATTTTGAAAAATAAAATTTTCTTATACTTTTGAGAGGTGCTTTCATCCCTTCACACAAACATCCACTGCAAATGTAAAACAATTACTACTACATTCGATCACAAATGGTTGAAGGTTTGTGCTGTATTTAGTGTTTCCCCCTTTTTGGCGCAATGCGTTAATTTTTGTATTTCAGGTTTCTAATTTATTAATCAAAGGCGAGCGTTTTCTCTCTCATGGGAATTACTCTCGTTTAATTATACTTGCATTTGCTCACAAAGAACCAAAGTTCTATTAAAAAATCCTGTGCAATAATTTGGACTTTAGAAATGAAGACTACACAGGGGATCGTAACTTCATAGTGGGTGAAAGAAAAAGTCCAACACAGTCTAAAATACTTGTTACCAATATGAATTGTGAGGTAACAAAACACTTTTGCTGCTGAAAAAAATTTTTGCATTCCAGAAGCTAGTTTGGGCCACATTTTAAGTCAATCAAATTGCGGGATTTCCTAATAAATATTCTATGATATAAGAAGAGCATCAACTCTCTTGAAAAGTTTTCTATCATAAACTGATAATAGTAAACATAAAATAATATAAGTGTTTTTAATTAATAATACATAAATTCCCAAACCATACCCCTCTAACATAAGCATACATGGAGGGGTGTTATATTGACAGCAGGCTAGAAATAGGGATATATATGTAGTCCTAATCGCCATTTAAATTGCTTACTCCACAGAGCGGTAATATGCTGCCATATAGACTGGAGGTTAAAAATGGGTATGAATATGGTTCAAATTGTCATTAGACTATTGCGTAGATGCAATTGAGCTTCCATAAAGACAGCGAAGTTCGATTTTGGGGCACGTCTATAATCTTCAAACCATGAAAGCAATTCATCAATGTCTCAAAATAAATAACACAGAAAATCATGTCTTTGTGTAAGATTACTGATGCAGAGGCTCAAGTAGTATATAGAAACACACACAACCGAAGTTTGGGAATATACACTTTGCTGCATATCTGGTTGCAGAAAAGATAAAGGCACTACTGCTAAACTACTATGGACAAACTTGTGCAGCTAACAGATTTGGGCATAACCGGGGGCTTACCCAGGTAGGGGGGGTGTAACTCCCCTCTTGAAATCAAAATTTTTCCATATCATACATGGAAGTTTTGGGAATGCTTTTTAGACCCCCAAGACTCTTGAAAACCCAAGTTTTTCCCCCGGACCCTCTAGCTCAGGGTGGTCCAAACCCAGGCCCACGGGCCACATGTGGATGGTAATCAAAACATCGTATTTTAAATTGCTTCTCATAAAATAAATCAGAAAAATTGTTTGACATCTTGTTGTTATATCACTACTGTGACTCAATTGACTGGCTAGCTGAAGCAACTAGCGAAGTGAAGATGTGATGGGCAGTCTAAATTGTTACCTGGATTTCTATCGTTTTGGTTGGGAATATATGCTAACAATATAGGCATGATAGAAGACTAAACATCGGATGCGGATTCCATTAGCCCAGGTTGGCAATGCCTGATAACTATGTGTTTACACAATAGAAGTGCTTGTTTTGTATTGCACTGTTTACCTATTCTTGGCACTATTGGCACCATTGCCCGCGACCAATGCCGATATAATTTTGCGGCCCGCGGAGCCCACGACCTTGGACCACCCTGCTCTAGCTGTTACGGTCCAACTTGCAAATTAGAAATTTCCTAACTCCACTCCTGGCTATGCCCCAAGACATAATCGCAATTTATGAAGTAAACAGTGTCCCTGTGAAGTGGCCATTGGGCTGAAAGTTTGGAAAATCACTCGTACAAATAACATCAAAAAGCCTTGATTAATAGACTAGTTTATATGATTCTTATACTGGAAGAAAAAATATGAAGAAATTAAGTTTGGGAACTTGAAAAAAGTCAAAAGAAATTACTCTAAAAGTAAAAAATTTGCCTACATGAGCATGTCCCCATTGAGGTCTACCACCTTAAATTGATAGAAATCGTTATAGAAGAGTTTAGAATAGGAATAGACATATGGTCTCAATCTGCATTTGAATGGCAAACTCTGTAGAGAATTATTGGTCTGCCATATAGACAGCAGGTTAGAAGGTGGGATGGGTATATGGCATCAATCGCCATATGAATGGCATCCTCCCTAGAGGGCTGCGATATAGACAACAGGTTAAGAATAGGGATGAATACATAGTCTCATGAATGTCCTTCATATAGACGAGAAGTTGTTTTCCAACTTAGATTGGTAGGAATCATTATAGAAGAGGTGATGAAGCCTTCACTGTAATTTGCTGAATTTGAACAATATTGTAATTGACCTTCTGTATGTTGCATCGAAACCTGTAAAAAAGAATTGAAGTTAAGATAGGATTTTCATATTATCTCGGGGGAGAGGGAAGATGATAAGATGGCACAATCATTCGGTGGGTCGATGCCTCTTCGGTTACCAAGCCATGCCAGGTATTGAATTATTGTTTCCGATGCATGAACTCAATGGTAAATTGAAGTTAAAATTTGTTAAAAAATGAACATTGAGATAGAATTATTGCTGGCTAAATTTGGACGTTCAGTCGCATTATGAACATTTATGTGCACAAACGCAAGATCATCGTTGATTAAAGGGAATATGATTACAACCTTTCCTTGTGGTAATAATTTAATGATAAAGGAGTCAAATTTTCATTCCAATGTGTAATGATTTGTATTGCAGAAAGTAATATGGGGATTTTAACCTGAAGAAAATGAGAAAAATATATATTTTCGAATTTCGAACAACTCCACCAATTTTTTATTAGAATACTTTGTTGATACTTTTGCTAAAATTATGATTAGACACCATCTTAAAAAGAGCATGTTTTTTTGTAATATTTTCAAATAAAAACGTTTTCGGGGAGATGGGGGCAATGGGTTAACACAGCTTGAAATTGGGAGGTGGTGGGCAATGGGTTAACCATAGCTTGATATAAATAAACAAAATAAAAGAAATCGCACCTGTTTAAGTAATCATAAATGTATAAACTAACGATTATCCTTTGCAACATTATGGAAAAACCAGTTGAGTGAAGTCGACCAGGCATCTTTCAAAGCTTTGTTGAATTTGCTTCGGAACTGTTTTCGAGCCTGTTCTTCTGACACATGGAGTGCTAGAGATTCACGAAGATAGTTAAGATCCTCCTGTATAAATAGGAAATATTGAAAGTTGGTTAGTTGGAAGACAAAAAGAATCTGAAATTTAAACACATTCCTTATTGAATATTGCGATATTTGTCATGTTTAACACAGAAATTTGGGTAATCCCGTAGTATGTGAACCAAGATTGTGGACACCGGAACGTAGTATGTGTACCAGGTTAGGGTTAGGCCATAACTTCAGATACAAATATCATGGGAGTCACTTGGCTAGTCCCCGAACTCGTAATAGAACTAAAACGAGGAAAATTGGAATAAAATTATGGCCCAAGGTCAAAATTTGCATTCAAAAAATCATTCAGTTCTTTTAACTGTTTAACTGAAACTGTAAACTTTTCCAACTCTTGCGCCAATCAGAATTTGCTGTTTTATAACTTACAACTAGAAATTTATGCAATTTCAGTAGATTAATAGTCGCCATAACTTTGTTCAGAGATGAGTCTCCTGTACTTCTGAGTGAGTGCGCTTAATGTACTACCATAATTTCGGTAGCTCTCAGGATTTAGGTGGTCTCCCGCATGCTTGCTTGCAATACAGATGAGTCTCTTTACTTTTGAGTGAGCACATGTGACTTTGCTTTGTGGGAATTCTTTAAAAATAATTCTAAATACACATAAAGATCAACTTACCAGAGAAGTCAACTCAGGCAATCCGGATGACAACATCAGTGAAAAGAGAGTGACAAATAAAAATCCTTTCTTTCGAAGAATCAAGAATGCATGATCACATAGCTGGAAAAGAAATATTTTATCAACAGTGAACAACGGAGAGTGTCGTTAATATGCTCGCAAATACACCGGTGACAAGTGACATTAAGGTAGTTTTCCAGACAGTCAACTGGCGCATAATATACCACTGCCCTAATATCGCAAAAAAACAGTTACCAAAGTAAGAGGTCGCCTCTTACGGCATAACTCTGATCGCACTATGATCACATAGCTGGAAAAGATAAATTTTATCAATAGTGAACAACGGAAAGTGTCGTTAATATGCTCGCAAATACACCGGTGACAAGTGACATTAAGGTAGTTTTCCAGATAGTCAACTGGCGCATAATATACTACGGCCCTAATATCGCAAAAAAACAGTCACCAAAGTAAGGGGTCCCCTTATACAGCATAACTCTGATCGCACTCAAACAAAATGACATTTCGCTAACTTAATTCCAACAGCTACAACTCAAACCATGATAAGTTCTCCAGATAAAAGAGTAAATGCACACGCACACAAACACGAAGCAGTGCTTGGTACGCTATGATGGCAATAACAAATTGTGATTGGTTGTCGTACATGTGAATGTGATCACATGTGGCTTATATCCAAATTTTATTAAATTCACTATTTTAGTGCCGTTTTAGAGGGTCAGTTGGCTTCTATGCAAGAATATACAATAAACAGCAGCTATTGGAATCTTTTTGGTTTTCTAAAATTTGCTCGGCAATGCGAGTGCAGGTAGTAGGTTCCAATTTTCACTACGCCGGGACAAAAAAGTTTGAGAAACGCTGAATTAAATAGATACAATCAACCACATATGTACCTTCCTAAATTTCTCAAATTCTTCTTTCGTGTCAGTCTTTCCTTTATTGATGACATGAACAAAGTCATGAGCGAGAACAAACGGAACTCTCTCTCGCTTAATTCCATATTTCGATTTGAAATTCCCGAGAATGTGACCAAAGTCAATGTGGAAGAGCTGAAAAGAAGTTTTAAATAATTTTACATCATTTATCTTGACAAATTGATTTGCCATCGTTATCAAACTTGCTATACTTTGAAGATCATTTTGTTTCACCAGTATTAGGTTTTCTTTCATATATATTTATAGTTCATACAATTTAGTCAATATTAGCCAGCTAAATTATTGCAAAGGGGTGTTCAAGCGACTCCAAAGTATATTTAATAAATGTCTTAATCAAACAGCAATAAATGTCCAAAGCAATAACCAAAGTAACACATACAGACATAAGCAACACCAACTGAGCTGTGCACCAGACTACTGAGTGCACATAGCCATATCACCTTCACAGGTGGTTGGTCATGATCAGTCGCCTGCAACTGATGACATCAGAGGTCATTCTCAACCATCTGGGAAAATGATAGTTGCCAGAAATACAGTTAACAAGGCGTTCCTTGACCCTCTGGAATGTTTCATTGGGGTTCGCTATACCATATATGTATATATACAACTGTAAAGAACCTATTCTTATATATGAGATATATATCTATTTAGCAAGGTTGGGAATATCAGGGCAAACACTTTAAACGTTAACCGGATAAAATTAACCGGTTAACGGCAGCATGACGTTTGACGTAATAAGTTATGATTTGAGCAAGTTAATTCCCATTGGTTTCAAAGCAATTTCGTGTGACACTATCCTGGTATCGCTTGAAATTACTAATGGATGGAGATGGTTTCATGGCCGCTCTACTGCAAGAGTTATGCAGCGTATATTCGGGCATATGGACGTATTTTAGTTAACCGGTTATCACTTTCGTTATTCAGTTATATATAAATACCGGTATTTTATATTTTTATATCCTTTGCTTTTTACCAGTTTTGCAAGTCTTACTATGAATAAGACTGCTAAAAACCACTTGCCAGATATTACCTGTCCTTTCTCAGTAACCATGATATTATCGGAGTGTCGATCACCAACACCCAGCACATATGTGGCAACACAATATCCAGCACAGGAATATGTGAAGTTTTGTATTGCAGTTTCTAGTCTGTTCAGGAATGCAATGAATTAAGAAACAGTTTTATGAAAGATAAATAACGCTATTTAGGGCAAAATTTTGATAATAGTTAGTCTAGAAAATAGACCACATGTATTTCTTGATTTCTTCAAAAAATGGCTAGAGTTATTGATAAAATAGTTAAACTTTGATTTCAGTAGCAATGAATGAATATGCTATTTTTGTTACTGAGTAGTAATTCTCACTCTGTCTATCTATACAAAAATAATTTTCTTTCGTTTCTCCTATACCTTTCCTTTGCATGAGAAAGTTAATAGGCCAAGGAATCTTTCGTTCGTCAAAAGTGGGCAACGATATAAAAAAAAAAGAAGTCTTTAAGGCCCTTCATACAAACTTACTCTTTAGGAGTCTTGTTGTATTCCTGGATCCATTCAAACAATGTTTCATGTCTAAATGCTGCAGTGAATCGACCAGCTTTCTTCTTTTGGATATTAGCAATGGTGTTGGAATTTGTCACAACCTGAAATATGATAGGTTGTAAGGCATTTTATGTAAGTTTTCCATGTCTTTACTCCAGGGGTTCTCAAACTTTTGATGCTATGGGACCCATGAAGAAGTTGACTTTTTTTTACATCCCACAATAAATTTTAAAAAAATTAATCATTCGAACATATGGATAATGTCATATTTGAACTGCCGCCTTGTTGCTGCATTTTGAAGCTAACATCGTCAAATTTTATTAATGCTGATATTAGTTCTTCATACAGTTACAAAATTAGCCAAGTCAGTATTTTAATAAGTAAACAAAAAGCCACACAAACCTCAGTACAAGCGACCACTGATATCATTTTATTAATTTTTTAACAGTTTAGATAAAAATGTTGAAAGCTAATACACTTAAAAAAAGCAAGCTTTTCTAGTGCATAGCTTATTGCTACACAGATGTTCACACTACAAACATGTATGACAGCGGTTCCCAACCAGGGGTCCCCCAGGGGAGCCACAGAGCAGTCGAAAGAGGGCCATAGCGCTAGGCACAAAAAAGATTTTACTTTTCACTTCACAAGAAAACTGTCTGTTATTCCTAGTTTCGTTGCTTGATAATTTCATTTCACAGAGTGTTTTCACTTTATTGTGCATGAATTGTTTGAACATAATGGGATTTGAAATCAATAATCATAATAACACTAATGATAAACACGGGGAGCCCATGAGTGCTAAAAGCCCCCAGAATGGGGCCACAAGCCCTAAAAAGTTGGGAACCAATGATCATGATATTTTTGATGTGGTTGGTGGTAAAAGAGCTATGTAATAATGGATAGGATAGGATTTACATTTTTATCCCGGGGGAGAGGAAAGCCGATAAGACGGCTTATCCATATGGCGAACCACGGCCTCTCGTCTGGTTACCATTCCAAGTCGGGTATGGGATTAGTTATATTGTTTGTTTTCGGAAGCATGGACTTGGTGGTGGAGGAAGCCGTAACCGACCAGCGGTTACGTGAACCACCCAACGACGGCGAGGGAGGAGAGTCCAGCAATTCTCTCGCACATAACCATCCCTGCATGGGATTCGAACCTGCGAACCCACGCAGAGTAATTAGAGGTGCGGTGGCGAGCGTATTCCTAACGCTTAGCCCGTTGAGCCACACCGCCGCGCCAATAGTAATAGTAGTAATATAATAGAAAGGGTGAAGTACAACACATTACCAAAATCCATAATTCAGTGATTAAACAATATAAGCAAACCTCAATCATTCCCATCTTTACCCCGGTAGATAAACAACCATAAGGAATCATCCTGAGATCCAAACCTTCCGATTTCCACAGAATATCCATGATGGATATAATCTGCAATGTCAGCATATCTTGACGAAGATCTGGAATTAATAAGAAATAAATGCTCAAATCTAGGCTATGGAGTCGAAGAATATTTATACAGAGCCAGTAATTTTCAAAAGAGGAGGAAGGGGGAGGGAGTCAGATATTTCTAATTGCCAAGTTAGACTGTACTAGCTGGCAGGTATCGCCAAACGCTGGAAAACAAAGTTGCATCGAGGTGCATCGAGACCGTCTTCGTCATGTCTGCACAGGCAAAAAACAATTTCACACAAAAAAAATTTGATAATTCACATCCTGCAGTGGGAATAATATATACAAGAGCTCGTTTCATCTCAAATGCAGTGTCATCATGGCAAATCATACTTCGACCTTCTCTGGCAGCGAGGCACACTTGTCGCACTCATGTCATGAATGTCACGTACACAAGCACAAGATTCATCTTAGTTGCAGTGTCATCATGGCAAATCATACTTCGACCTTCTCTGGCAGCGAGGCACACTTGTCGCACTCATGTCATGAATGTCACGTACACAAGCACAAGATTCATCTTAGTTGCAGTGTCATCATGGCAAATCATACTTCGACCTTCTCTGGCAGCAAGGCACACTTGTCGCACTCATGTCATGAATGTCACGTACACAAGCACAAGTACAAGATTCATCATAGTTGCAGCGTCATCATGGCAAATCATACTTCGACCTTCTCTGGCACCCAAGCGCAGTTGGCGTACCGCATCCCAAGAAACCTGTTTTATAATATAACAACACATTCTTGAAAATAAAGAACATACCATCTCCATTTTTATAGATGACGCTTATCTTTCCAGTCAGAGAATCCTGGTTCTTGAAAACCAACCATAGAGGCCTCATCTTGCTGTTCATAACTTTGCATGGCTCGGTTCTGAATGAGAAATTATACAATATAAAAAAGGGAATTGCTGCCTTCAAATAAACTCAATTGTGATCTTTAATGGGCATTTTATGCTTTCTGAAGTTCTTAAACATGAAGGCCTGAATAATAATGACAATGTCAACAAAACAACATAACCTCACGACATTTACACTTTTTTTTACATTTATTTTATGAGAGGTGTGTGGCTGCTGCTCTGAACACATCTTTTCAAATATTCAATCATTTATTAGTTATGTTTAACACAATTCTGATTATTTTTGGTGCGCACTCAGCAAATCGCCGCACCCTTTGGAACCGCTAGATTCGTAATTAAGTACTACACTTATGAATAACATAATCTTTTTCCACGAAATACTAAGTATATTTATTAGCTTTCGTTGATCATAGTCTAAATTCTTCAGATAAAACAAGATATGGCTTAATAAACAGCGAATAAAGCTCATGAATAAACTTACTATTTTGTGAAAAGAGATTATGTTATTCATATTTATCTTTATAATACGATCTCATTCAAGCACCCTTTTGGCAACTGACACATATGGAACCGAAGTAGGAAGTAAACAGGGAGAAAGGACTTGCTGTTTAGTACACAATACCCTAGTACAGGGCTACTCAACTATTTTTACCGAAGATCCGCATACAAAACTTCAAAAATATTTGGGTCCGGTTTTTCCATAAAATTATATTTCGGCATCCTTAAACATGCACTTCCTCGGCCGACTAATGGTTATTAGCTAATCAAGTTTGTTTGTTATGGTGTTATAGTTATTTTCATATATATTCAAAGGGGCTCCCGAAGTATGCGAACCAAGATGGCGGACACCGGAATGTAATATGTGTACTAGGTTAGGGTTAGGCCATAATTTTAGGTATAAATACTACGGGAGGCTCTTGGCTAGTCTTCGAACCGATAATAGGACTAAAATAAGGAAAATTGGAAAAAATATTATCGCCTAACCCTAACCTGTTACCCATGTTACGTTCCGATGTCCGCCATCTTGGTTCGCATACTTCGGGAGCACCTATTTAAATCTATAAAAGGGATTTTATAAAAGGAAACTTCAAAAGTGCAGCTAATAATTCAAAATAAAGAATTAGGCGCGGTCCGAATCAAATACCCGAAAGGTCTGGATTTGGACCGCAGTCCACCAGTTGAGTAGCCGTGACCTAGCACACCCAATACTACACTTACTCCGGCTTCTCTAGTAAAATGCTTGGGTCCAGGGGACATTCAACTTGGCTGAGAGCCTCAGCGTATGATTCTTGGTTGATGCATTCATGTAGAGCTTGTCTTCCTTGACTTGGAACATCACTCTGCTTGATGCCAGGTGATTTAACCTGTGGAATGGATGGATTTCATAGTGAAATATGGTTAAAAATCAAAAATCAGCAGTTATCTTGGATGTAATGGCCTAGCACAGAGCTTCCCAAACTGGGAGTGGTAAAGTAACGTATTTCTCTAGGTATAGTACGCACTTTCACAGCCACTCTGCTTGATGCCAGATGATTTAACCTGTGGAATGGCAGGATTTCATAGTGAAATACGGTTTAACATCAAAAATCAGCAGTTATCTTGGATGTAATGGCCTAGCACAGAGCTTCCCAAACTGGGAGTCATAAAGTAACGTATTTCTCTAGGTATAGTATGCACTTTCACAGCCAAATTTCAAGTTCAGAATAAGGGAGTGCGTATTATGCATTGACATAAAAAATATCGAAACAATATTAATCCTTATTTTACGCTTAACTGGCTAATAATTCTCACATATAATAATCTTAATAAGTGTTTTAATTTCATTTAGCAAAGTCTGTTGGGATTGTTAGACCGACTATTATCATATAATACAACCTTATATTACACAATCAGAATAGATATATATTAGCTTGCACAGCACCCATGCTGCAATTATGATAAGCAAGAACAAGCAGATACCAAATCAATGAAGCGTAAAACAATAACAATGAAAGAAGTTAACAGGCAGTGTTGCCAGAAATAGACAAAACAAAATAGTACAAATAATACAATATCAACAATTTCAGATCATGCTTGTTTCAGTAGAATCCAACGTAATTTAGCGTTAGTAAAATCAGCAAGCATCTTAATCAATTCAGAACTCAAGCGTCCGAACGAATTAAAAGAACAGCTGTACATCATTAACTGCTGTCATTGTCTCATAGTTTCTCGTCGAATCGGAGAAATCTCAGGGTCATAGTTCACAATATGTCACTCAAATTAATGACCGGCATCTTTGGAGTGCAAGTGTTAAAAAGATCAGAGACAAATAACAGCATGGAAGAATAAATACTGTAATTTATATGCCAGGCTAAATATAAAACCAAAAAAGCCTTGCAAACTACGAAAGAGTCTTGCAACCTGAACTTACCAATTGATTCAGTGATTTCATTTTCATCAAAGCATCATGTTGTCTCACTAAGTTATGCAGATGTGGAATATTGCCGTACAAATAGGCTTCCAATATTAGAGAGAATCTCCCACCAACGTACTGATCTGACATCTCAGACCTAAAAATAGAATATGAGTGAACTTTTATCTAGTTAGTGTTACACGGACGATATAAGAATTCCTCCCCAATAAGGAATTCTTAACTCATTTAATTTAGTACTTCCGTAGTGCAATGTTTCCCAAACCCCTGCGGACTCCTGTTTGTGAATCTTGTTTTTGACGGGCCCCCATCCTATGTCGTATTAATTTATGCCTAACAAACGAGAAACTATGTTGTTTCCTTTGATGAAATAAAATTTATGAATCTGAATAAATACATACTAACGTTGAATACTGGCAGGCTGACGCAATTCAATAAGATTAACTCTTTTTTTCCGTATGACGAATATATTCGTACTACCATCCTTGGTCATAATATTTATTTTCGGACTATTTTACGTTTATGTTCATGTTTGTGAAGTATTTCCGCACTAACTAAAATCATTTTAGGCATCCAACTGTGATCCATGTTTGATCCGCAAACATTTTTTTTTTGTAAATATTTTATTTTACTACTAAGTGAAGTATTTCAAAGCTTAGAGATATACGAAAGTATTTGTCATTACTTCAAAGATAAGTCATTTGAACGAGCGGGAAACAATTTCGCGCACATAATAAACAAACAAATATTCCAGACAACTATCGTGAACATGCTCTCACATATCATTGATTATTTCGCGTTTTGCTTCGCTTGCGAAGCTGAGTTTGGTTTTTCTGCAAAGGTGACGTAATGCTCTTTGAGCAGAGCGCTTGAAATTTCGTTTCTTTGTAACACATGTTCATCGAAGCGATAAGAGTGTGAAACGTTCTCTCAAAATTTTTTGAAATTTCTCTCTTCTTACCGGCGTAGGGTCGAACGGTTTGCGCCTACGTCATTTGGGCGCGTTTTAGTAGGAAGACGCGAAAATAAGCTATTTAAAGAGATATTTGGGGTGTTCCTTGCATGTTTGGTTAACCAGTCATTACATATTATAAAATGGTACAAAAAGTCGATTGTAACCAGCGGAAAAAAAAGGTTAAGATCTATTTGTGTGTGTTCAGGACTCTTTTCATATGGTTACGGACCCCTGTGCAGTCATCACGGAGCCCCAGGTGTCTGCGGCCCCCAGTTTGGGAAACCCTGCCGTAGTGTATGTACCAGGTTTCGGTTTGGCCATAATATTGTTACAAAGTTACGGGAGACCACTACAGTGTAAATCATTTTCATAAAGTAAACGAGACTAATATCTGAACAAAATTACTCCTCGCCGGCGTAGAGTGGTTCACGTACCATCAAGTCCATTCATCTGGAACAAATAACCAGCTAACTATAATCCCAAACCCGACATGGACTGGTAACCGGACGAGAGGCTTTAGTTCGCTGAATGATTAAGCCGTCTTACCAACTTTCCTCTCTCTCTCAGGATAAATATGTGAATCCTATCCACCAATAAAATGTCCAGAGGTACGGACATTTTTACACAATATTTGAAGCACTTCAATTCAATAAGCGCATACTTACTTCAAATGCCAGAATAGAAAATGTCCAACTTTTCTGTTTTTCCAGGCTCTTTCAAGAAGAAACAACACGAGCGGGTTATCAATGTATGATTCATATTTGATAACTTGAACTAATTGAAGTAGATACTGTTGAAGTTGGTCATCTCTGAAAAAAAAGAGTTTGCTTTGACCAAATTTCTCAGTACTCCCGTAGTATGCGTATCAAAATGGCGGACACCTGAACATAGTATGTGAACCAGGTTAGGGTTAGGCCATAATTTTATACCAATTTTCTTTATTTTAGTTCTATTACGAGTTCTGGCACTAGCCAAGTGACTTCCGTAGTATTTGTATCAAAAATTTCCATGAGATAAAAAACTTGTTAGACTAACAAATTTCTTCTGGATATTACAGCACTTTCATGGTCAAATTTAATTTCCAATATTAGGGAATGCATGTTATGCTTTGGGGGACACTTTATTTTTCAAATCAGTGTGAAACAATTTAATTCATTAATCAGCGATGTATGATTGGAATACGAAACATTGTTTCAAAATATGATCATGAATACTTACGGTAGTTTTCTTAAACAAGAAACGGCAAATTCTCGAATTTTTTCATCAGCGTACTGACAATCAAGCAATTCTAACGCTCGTTCGGGTTCCAGTTGAGTCCAACAGTTCAGTAAAGCTTGCATCTGGAAAGGAAAAGCACTTATGCAAGATTTTAGAAAGATTGTGGTTGATATGGCCCCAACAGGACATGAGATTCCAAATTTTAAGAACAGTTTATCCTTTGTATCAAACTTAACCCTGCTAAAACGCTTAAAAACAGTGAAAAACCGTCAAAAAACACCAAGAACCCTGCTAAAACGCTTAAAAACAGTGAAAAACAGTCAAAAAACACCAATAACCCTGCTAAAACGCTTAAAAACAGTGAAAAACCGTCAAAAAACACCAATAACCCTGCTAAAACGCTTAATAACAACAGATCTCCTCATTCCAGAAAATTATGGGTACTTCCGTAGTGTGTACCAGGTGAAGGTTAGGCTAATAATTAACAGGCTAATAATTAACAGGCTAATAATTTTATTCAGATTTTCCTTATTTTAGTTCTATTACGAGTTCGGGGGCTGTCCGTGTCAGCCGAGTGAATATACCCCCTGCCCATAAGTTTCAGTCCCTTTACACAACTTGATGTGAAGTAAAGAACCAAATTAGTTACCTTCATTTTGGTATACACACGTCTGGAGTGCCACATTATGTATATGATTACATTAGCTACATAAACATGGCACTCTTAACAAATCTAATACATAACTTCTGGAATGCCGAGAATATAACGCATTAACGCTAAAGAAATACATTTATGCTACTGTGCAGCAGGACTCTTCATTGATTTAGAAGTTAGAATGTTAGTCTTTAATTTTGCTACAGCATCCTTGCATTGTACACATAGGTATCCACTACTAGAAAACTAAAATAGGGAAAATCGGAATAAAATTATGCCGCAACCCTAACCTGGTACACACACTATGGAAGTACCAATTAATCTATCCCATTAATCTTAATCTATCCCATTTCACAAACCTGAGCGACACTTTTGTAGGAATTCCACTTGATGGTGCCAAGTATCTTTGACAAATACTGTGGGTAATGGTCTCTGCATTCCATACGAAGGTACCTGTCAATAAAGATAGAATAAGATTTTTATATTTATCCCCGGAAAGAGGAAAATGTCGGTTTAATGATATGGAGAACCGCGACCTCTCGTTCGGTTACCATTCCAGGCATGGACTTGATTATGGAGGAAGCTGTAAGCCAGGCGTGTGCAACCTGCGGCAAAATTGTGCAGCCCGCGAAGAAGTACCAACTTTGAATGGTGTGCGACCCGAGAAACGTTGCAAAGCCAATACCAGAGTCCAATTTATTTCATATGACGCTACAATGAGCGAAGTTAGCTTGTGCGTCGCCCCTACCACAAGATATTTTTCATATTTATCCACAAAGAAAGAAAAGTTCATTTTGAAAACATAAGTTCATGGCACACCATTGGTTACCAGTAATATTGCTCAGAGATGAGTCTTCATTTTGTTTGAGTAAGTGCACATAACATCGCTGAGTTATAATTACTGTTAAGTGAGTTTGTCACCTGGCTCTGAGAATAGCAATTCCTTTTCATTCTCAAACAGTTCATCTTACAACTACCCCCCCCCCCCCCCAAAAAATCCCCCCTACCATAGCAGTTCTTTTTCATTCTCAAACAATTCATCCTGAGATGGTTTTCCCAGCATTTCATCTAGTTGCTGTAAGTGAGTCTTTGAAGCTTTTGTGAAGATTTCTGGGTTTGTCGCGACATCAGTCTGCTGTGCAGCCTCTGCTAGTACCTGCAACATAGAATTTGTCAATTTTAAAGTAGAACTGTCGGTCTACATGTTTAAATATAGAATTAGTATGACATGTTATATAGAATGTCGTTAGAAGTCTTAATCTTTTTTTAAATTGCGAAGGGAATTTATCGATACCATATATTGTTTTGGCCGTCACATAAATGAAGTAAAAATACTTGAACAATTACTGATTAAAAAACAACAAATCTGGTTAAGAATTAAGATATATACTGACTTCATGACAAAATTCAAACTGTAATGGGACCTAATGCACACTCTGAAAATCATTTACTTGTGCTGTAGCTGTTTATATTGAGCAGTGGTTCTCAAATTTTTAAGCCACGCCCAATTTTTAGAATTCGTCCCCAACTCAAAAACGAAAATATCGGTAGGAGACCGAAGACTTATCGATCGAAGCTGCAGTTTTGATTCATGACTCTATAGTGACAACGCGTGTCCCATCACTAATTAATTAATAACTCGCTAATTATACGACATAATTCATCCAAAATCAATAGGCTTCATATGATGAATGCACACGCAAAATTTGGAGCAGATTCAATCTCGCTTTCGTGAGATATCGCGTTCATCTAACAGACAAACAGACATACAGACAGACAAATACCTATCAACATACTTTCGACTTTCCGATCTTAAGATCGATAAGTAAAAACCAGATCCAAAATAGATGGAGTAATCTAAGGATGCACAACCCTTATACTATTGTCACCTTCATTACAATCAGGTATGAGAAAGCTAACTGCAGGGGCTATCTCCATGTTTAGCTGTAGAATTACTGTAACTCGATATATAGTTCATTAACTTGTGCCATAGCTGTTTATATAAGTGAAAATGAATGAAAAAATAAAAAAATTAAATACAAATCTTTTTTTCATCAAAATACCAGTCCCAGACAATTTTCGAAAAATATGTCAAATTTTTTTTTACTTACGTCTTGGAATGGAGGGTAGGCCACAGGCGTTGCGTATTCAGAAAGATCTAGTTCAATGTACACACTTTCCTCGTCTGGGTTGGTTGTTACGACACCTAGTGGATTTAACGTGTCGTTTTCAAGATTCTCGGGCCAACTCCAACATGGCAGAGTATGCTGTGAATATAAAACATTAACAGAATTATTTTACCTGTGTGTTCGCCTAATTGTCTTAAAAAGCTAGAATTACCCAAGTTAGTGCTGCTGATTAAAATTTCAAGCTCAAATCTTATGGCCATCACCTCACGCAGGATATACATTAGTGAGGCAATGCTGTACTGCAAATATTTCGGGTTCTTCCAAAGTAAATTTGCGCTCAACCTAGCGCTGGATAATTGTAGAGAGGCCTTGTTGGGGTAATAGGCAGAAAAAACTTGAAATGGATATTCTAGCACCATTTCAAGCTTTTGCAATTCCCTTGTTGTGCATTTAGAACTGACAAGTGAAATAACTAATAAAAAAATGTTAAACTCACCCTCCCACTTTTCAGAACTCCTTGGAAATCAAAAATATTCATGTTGACCCAGAATAAAGGGGTTGAATTTGCGTAAATGGATCTTTGGTCGTTCTGTGAAAATAAAATAGAGAGAACAGTTATTACCTGGCTTTTTCATAGGTACTCCCGTAGTGTGTGTACCAGGTTAGGATTAGGGCATAATTTTATTCTGGTTTTTCTTATTTTGGTTCTATTACGAGTTCTGTCTGTGTTAGACAAGTGAATAAGCTCCCTTCCCATTCATTTCAGTCCCTTCTCACAACTTAATGTAAAGTAGGCGAACAAAATTACTTACCTCCATATTGGTACACATACTTCTGGAGCGCCTTTTCATATCAAAAGCAAATGTGGTGGTGTGGCCCTTGTGCTAAGCATTAGGAATACGCTCGCAACCCCACCTCTGATTACCTTGTGTGGATTCGCAGGTTCGGATCCCATGCAAGGATAGTTATGTGTGAGCAGATTGCTGTACTCCTTGCCTCCGTAGGAAGGTTCACGTAACCAACCACTGGCCAGTTACAGCTTCCTCCACCATCAAGTCCATGCTTCGGAGAAACAAATAATTGGCTAAGTAAACCCATAATCGGCATGGATTGGTAACAGGACAAGAGGCCGTGGTTCGTCATATGATTAAGCCGTCTTATAGGCTATCCCCCAGATGGATATGTAAATCCTATTCTATCCTAAATGTTGTAAATGTCTCAAAAGCCTAACTATTGCAGGGTTTTGCTTTCTTGATCAAAGTCAGACTTCTTCAGACAAACATTTATCAAACTATTCCCAATAATAGTAGTTTTTATGTATCGGTGCATGCATGTGCAAAGAGTTGTTCTTGTGGGGAAAAAAATTCCACATAAAATTTACTTTTTTATCTCCTTTCTTCTTGTTTGTTCCCTTTTTCACATCTTTCTTATCAATGACACAGATTGAAATACAGAGACGAGAATTCCTCGGCAGGTGGCAAGACGTTATATCAAAATAACAGATGTCTTCCCAGTCCAATGTCAACTTATCATTCTCTAAAAAAACATAATCTTGTTAAATGAAAATAAAACAACACAGGATTGAAAGCAAGAGAGTACAAAAAAATACAAAGTACACCGCAGTACTTAAAACAGCAGCAAGGTCACAGGTGGCACATCACGGGAAGCGTTGAAAAGTATGCTTGCAATTGCACCCCGGATTATACTGTTCAGGTTCACATCCTTTGGGGGTTAATTATTTGCGAGAGGATTGCTGGACTCCTCGCCGCCTTAGGGTGGTTCAAGTAACCGCTGGTCAGTTACTCCTTCCTCCACCATCAAATCCATGTTTCTGAAACACATAACTGGCTAATTAATCCCATACCCGACCTGGACTGGTAACCGGACAATAGGCCGTGGTTCGCCATATGATTGAACCATCTTATCAACTTTCCTCTCCGTGTGATAAAAATGATATCTCATCGTCACTGGATTTCTTTGGAAATAGCTAACCAGGTGGCATTCTTGCCAGTATCTAAATTTCTATTCTCTCACCTCTCGTCTCCTTTGCATTATGAGTGTAGCAGGTATTGCATAGTGTTGAAATCCCATGGTAGAGGCCGATGTGAACAATGAACTGAAAAGAAAATGAACTAGAGATGACTAGGCTCAACTGATTACCATTAGGGCTGTCCCAAAATCGAATAATTTTTTGATTCGAATCGAATCGAATATTCTCGCCGAATCGAACCGAATAATCGAATATTATTGCGCAATATTAAATCTATCTCTATTATACAATAAACGCCTGCCCTTCGATGTTGTGGTAACGTATGTGCAGTTACATCTTACTTACTGCTGGTATTTTGCAATACAATGTTTTCAGATTTATGAAAGGAGATCACACGCTTGTATGAACTGGTCAAAAAAATTGGAGAACTCCAAAATTTGGGTCTCGAAAACTGTTGAGTGTTAAGAGTAAAAATTGCACTATTCAAAAATTGCAATCTCAATTTTGATGGATTCAGTTTTAATAGGACATGTAAAGCCTGTAGACTTTAATCCTATTCACTGGTCTTATGTTTTTTTGTGTAAATTTCAGCAAAATAATAACAGTCATCAATATAGATAAAACTGTTGCTAAAGTTCAAAATTGCATTTAAAATTTCCAAGCTAGTTTGATGACAATATTATTTGACGACTATAATATTGTTAGTGTACAACAGCCATCAAAATGCAAGAGTGCAATTATTTGTCTTGGTATATAGATGGATAATACAGTAATGCCATCATAAGAAATTACAAATTCCATTCAAAGAAGGTATTGCCATCATAAGGATCCCAAAACACCTGTTTCAGCTTTGAGTTGCCTGTACCATGTTCCTATGATAACTAACTCAACAGCTTCAAATCGATTCTATTTATAGAACTATCGTTTTCTAAATCGTCTCCTTTTTCTCCTTGTTCTCTCTCAAAAACGTCATGACCAATTATACCTTGTTATGATGACCATGCATGAAATGGATAATCACGTGCCACCGGGCGGGCATTAGTAATGACATGTTTATCACAAAATGAAGGCGAGAGAAATATCGGGAAACCAATTAAGCCGGGAGCGAGGGTGGTCTGAGCTCGGAGCCCCACCCAGCTTGCCCGATGAAAAACATCCCGTAAAGGTGGTTTCCGCTTTATGTACATGTACCTAATTTTAGCGATTCGAAAATTAGCCGAAAAACGATTCAAATAATTTACACAACTTGATGTAAAGTAGGCGAACAAAATTAGTTAAATCCATATTGGTACACACACTTCTGGACCAGCCATTGCCGTGGGCTACGCCTGTGTTTCCCAACCTATGGGTTTGAACCCAAAACTAGGTCAATTGAAATTCTTTCAATAAGTGTGTTGTTTTTTAAAAAAAATCATTATTTGGTATTGAAGTGCTGATCAATTGTATTTATGGGAAGTATCACAGTGTAAAAAAGTATGAAGCATCTATTTTGATCAAGTAAAGCCACGCTACGAATTCAGATAGATAGCAAAAAAGCGTGAGTCAGTGAGTAGACAATGATATAATTTTTGTAAGTTTGACATGAAACTTTAAGAAACACCTAAAAATAATTAAACGTAAAATATTTCAACATTTCCAACTCTTTGCGTACTCTCACCTTTTTGTCCATCTTGGTGTTGATGTTCCCGGTCCTCACGACTTGAACATTGAATGAAGTATCAAGTTTCCAAAGAGACATCGTGTTGTGACGTCGACTCGGCATGGGCGGAGGTAGTGGGGCAAGCTGTATAAAAAAATAGAATTATTATATTATAGTCTAAGCCAAGGGTGCAGAGCCTGCGCCCGCGGAGAAGTGACAATGCGGCCCGCGAAACGAGGGTTTATCTTACTTTTATCTGATACGTGAGAGTACTTCCAATTCTTTTTTGTTGCGAAGGTTTAGCTGTGCTTGTGCAAAGCGAACAACGCATGTCATCAGATCAATACCCAAAATTTTAGTGCCTGCAACTACTAGAAAGCTTATGTAAATAAAGGCCCGCAATTTCACCCAGTTATTTGTATCTGGCCCTTCTATTAGAGGTTAAACTCCCCTCGTCTAAGGCAGTGGTTTCTGAACCGCAGTCCGTGTAACGATTTTATATGGCCCGCCGAACTTTAGTAAAGAATTTCACCACTTTGTTTTTTCTTTTTCGCATTCTAGATACCGCCATTGTTTCGTCATTGTAGTTTAAGCACATACATATTCATAATAATTCAATTATACCGGTATCTTATCAGTAGCAGTACCGCCACGTGCGGGCGCTCCCGTCCAGCGAATATCCTTTCGATTCTAATTTTGGCCCCCGATCAATCAACATTAGGAACCACTAGTCTACGGCGAGGAATCACACACATCTTGCTATTCCAGTCATTGCCTGAAATTTGCCCAGATGTAATAGTTCAACTGCTGCTGCAGGGAATTCCCCAAGTAGTCATCATCGATATGCTATGTCACGTCACGGACGTCAAAAATTTCCTTGTTGTGGGTATGCTCGCTGGAGCATGACGTTGAGTTTATCTAGTTCGTCTATACCTTTTTTATGGAATCTTCCGCTCTCACATATATTTTAGTTCCCAAATTGTTTGAATTATTTATGCTGATTTACTTCTGTATTGTTCGATTTAATCTGCTTCTATAATGGTGTCGCTGACATGATGACTTTTGATAGTCTTTTCGTGACCCCTCGTCTATTGCAGTTCAAATATTGTACTTTTTTCTTTCAATGAATTCTATTTAATTTTTACCATTTGTTTAAATGTACAATGTTTTTGCACGACGAAAAATGAACATCTGAATCTGAGATGACCTAATATTCAGATGTCCTAATAAAACAACGTAACATTTCCGAAGCTAACTGGGTTCAATGATCCAAAATAAAGAATCAAATGTAATCTGAATCGAACACTCGAAAAGTCTGGATTCTAGGCGTGGTCCGCTTGTTGAGTTACACTGCACTAAACTATCACACTATGATTACCTTCAATTGTTCAAATCCATATGATGATTGAGGCAAGATCGGTCGAATTGAAGCGACATGATATAATATCAATGTGGGCGTGTCTGGGGGTTGGGTCTCTTCAACATTGGGTCGTTTTACTAATCCATCACGAAGAACCTGTTGCCAGAAACAAAAACAAATTTAGAGGAAAATCAAAAATAAGTTATTAGTAAGGCTGCTTAATGCAAATGACAAATAACTTAGGTATAAGAAAATTTGCGTAAAGCAAGTTCATGCACACTCACTCAGAAGTAAAGAAGACTCAACTCTGAGCAAAGTAATGGCCACTCACTCAGAAGTAAAGAAGACCCATCTTTGAGAAAAGTCAGGGCCACTCGCTCAAAAGTAAAGAAGACCTTACTATTTGCTTTACTATTGCAAAATTTTGGATGCTTATTTTGTTTGTTGACACTTACAAACTGAGTTACATGATCAAAAACATCATTTTGATCAAAATATACAACCAGGTGCCTCCAACAGGTAATGATAGCTAATTTTAGAATAGTCTTGCCAACGAAGTGTCTGAGCGGCTGCAGAAATTGCCATTGTTACATCATCGTTTACTGTTTGCTGATTGGTTATAGTTACATATATAAACAAAGAGAAAATTGATGCTCGAAGAAACTCCATTGCACAAGACTTAAAAAAGCAAGTCAATAAGGACCAGAACACATCTAGGAAGATGTGGATTCCACTTTACCGATATAAAGTACTGTCACTGGTACGCTAAAAACACTTTGAAAACATGTTCGCTGACTCAGCAGAATTTATCATAGAGAAATCCATGTGGTGGTACGATTAGTCAAAGTCGGCAAAAGTTGGAATAAAACAAACAGTACAACAAACTAAATTTTTCCAAAAAAAAAATGGCCATCATCAACCACAGAAAATTTAAAACAAATAAATTCAGTAGTTGATTGAAAACATAATATGTTCCAAAAACATCAACAATCTGTAAGTCAACATCAAAAAGATAAGTCAAAATCCAATAGATAAGATAACAGCTGATACCTTGTATTGAAAAAGCTGATAATTTCCTACAATATATTCTTTCCCTGGTGCTCTGAGAACGTAATCTTCGGGATTGGTAGTCGGAAGAGCAATGCCTGGGTATTGAAAGAGTTTATTTTAAAATTTTGCTAAAAGCATGGGTTTTCAATTGATAGGAATTTTTTTCAGTTAATAGTGGACATAACAACTTAGTTAGGGGGGGGGCAACATGAGGCCTGCGGGGCGGGTCCCGCTGACTGTACATCAGTACATTACGATATTACATTATTACACTTTTAGTACATTATGATAAATTCATTATGTGTTTTTGGTCTCTAATTTTTGAAGTGTAAACTTTACTTTAAACGTAATTTATAATTTTCTTTTTTGCATTATCGAATAAATATGTGATTAAGATATTGAATATTATTCATGTTGTAGTCCGGCCCGCCGAGAACTTCATTTTCCCACATCTGGCCCGCCGACTAGAGAAGTTACCCACCCCTGACATAGTAGGTACAGCAACAATGATATTGACTGTCGCTAAAACTCTCTTATCCAAATACCTCGACCGTCACTCAAGGTGAAAAAAAAGAGTAAAAATTACCGGACTAGAATAACTATGGTATATCTAAAAATTATATCTCTGTTGTTTCCAAAATTTAATCATCGGTATGTAACAATGACTTCTTATACATATTTCAAATAAAAATTTTACAAAAAATAAAGGCTAAAGTGTTTCTGTACTATACATTAATGTTTTTCAACCTATGGGGGGCCTGTTTAAAGTTTTATTTTGTTTATTTTATACCGTATTTGGTATTGAAAAATCACTCAATCGAAATTTTGTATGTGGAAAATTATACAGCATGAAACTTGGAGGCGTCTACTTTGCTTGAGCGATTTCAACACGATTTCAAAAACTCGCTGTTGGCGAACAAGCACAACTTACTAACTACCAATTAATTTCTGTTAAAATATATATTATGTGAAAATGACTGTAATAGGCGCTCCCGGAGTATGTGAACCAAGATGGCGGACACCAGAACGTAGTATGTGTACCAGGTTAGGGTTAGGCCATAAGTTTATTCTAATTTTTCTTGTTTTAATTCTATAACGAGTTCGGGGATTAGCCAAGTGACTAACCCTAACCTGGTAAACATACTACGTCCCGGTGTCCGCCATCTTGGTTCACATACTACGGGAGTACCCTGTAATGTAGTAGCCATTTAACTTTGCGGCCATAAAAGCACAACATATCGTTCCGTATGTAAGAATATTCTTGGGTCGCAAAATTTCACAAAATTGAATTTTTTCAAATATTTGTGTCATTACCTGCATTCCTCCATGTTGACAAAGCTTCCCTTGTAAGATCGTGGCTCATCCAGTTCGGATTAACTTTCATTTTCTTTACCATACCCTAGATTAAAAAGAAACACTTTGTACAACTTTTAAGAATTGAATATTTTTCCTACGGTACTCCCGTAGTATGTGTACCAGGTTACAAGATATGTGCATGCAGAAAAATCCTTTCTAAAAAAATTGTAGTCAGGGATGTCGAAAAGGATTGAATATCCAGCCGAGGATGTGGCCCGCAGCTTCATTATTTGTGGCCCGCGTCACATTTGGAGAGTAATCAAAAAATCGTATTTGATATTGTTTTGTCAAAAAATTAACCAGAATATTATCACTAATATCACTGAATCGACAAGTCTTTTGGCTAGCTGAGGCAACTAGCGAAGTTGAATGATGGTGTTTGTTTTGTATTGTACTGTTTACATATTCTTGACGCTATTGGGGACCGCGAACGATGCAAATATAATTTTGTGGCCCTCGGAGTCGACAACCTTGGACCACCCTGCTTTAGACACTCAAGAGTCTTGAGATAACTCCTGTTTTCCGGAACCATCAGCAGTTACTTTCTAACTAGGCAATTACATATTCCAGAAACCTCGTCCCCCTTTTGAAAAATCCATGAAACGACCCTGAAAATGACGCAAGTTAGAACATATCCACCCTTATGAGATTTTATTTCAAAATCTATTCAAATAGTAGACTGTTCTCATGGCCTCCAAGGGAGGGCCACCCCCCATAAATGCATAATAGTTGCTTGTTCTTAGCCCAGTGGCTCCCAAACTTTTTTTAAAAAATTCATGGCGGACCCCTTGCAATTTTTTTAATGATTCACAGCCTGCACTAAAACAAAATATTAAAAGAACACAACAAAAAATCAATGCATCGATTAATTAAAAACACTAAAACGAACAAAAGTATATTTCGAAGGGTAATAGAATGGGTGTGCTTGTTTCGTTGTGGAGCAGCTTTTAGAAGCAAACTGGCATAACTAAACTGCCTACTGTAACTCCCTCCTATACCAGTAAATCCGGGCCCTGAGAAAGTGCTTCGCGGGCCCCAATTTGGGAACAACTGTCATACCCTTTTAGAAACTATTCAACAACTTCAAAAAATACTGTACCTCTACATTCTCATATTTTACAGGAACAAGTCCATACTGCCTCAAGAAAGGTTCTTGTTCGTAAACAATGGAGGGTGGATAATTATGATTTAATAAATCCTTCCAATGCATCTTCTCCCTTTCGTTGACAACCTCAAGAGCTTTCTTTCGCATTTTTGTCCTGAAATGAGCTTTCTCTGGATCTTTGTTGATTTCACTTTCATCTAAAATAGAAAGGTTTTGCGTTTTTACCCCAGGGAGAGGAGAATCGTCCACCCCAGCCTCTCGTCCAGTTACCTATCCGTGTCGAACATGAGATTTTAGTTAGTTAGCCAGTTATCTGTTTCAGATGCACAGACTTGATAGTAGAGGAAGTCGTAATCCACCAGTGGCTACATGAACCACCGTACAATATTAAAATATTGGGGCTCCCGAAGTATGCGAACCAAGATGGCGGACATCGGAATGTAATATGTGTACTAGGTTAGGGTTAGGCCATAATTTTAGGTATAAATACTACGGGAGGCTCTTGGCTAGTCTTCGAACTGATAATAGGACTAAAATAAGGAAAATTGGAAACAAATTATCGCCTAACCCTAACCTGTTACCCATGTTACGTTCCGATGTCCGCCATCTTGGTTCGCATACTTCGGGAGCACCAAAATATTTGTTAAAGTTACCTAAGCTGGAGTAAAAATTATGAATTTTTCTAGGATCAGAAGTTGGAATTTCCGACATTTTGAATGGTGACGATGTTAGGGAAATTTGAGAGAGAAACTCAAAAAGCATCCAGTTGACTAGGTTGTCTCATGAAGGACAATTAAAGGCTTGATCTGAATTTATATTTATTTGTGTTTTAAGCTAGGAGCCCTTAATATACAAGAACAGGTAAAACCAGCGTTGGGTGGGATTCAGGGTTTTCACACAGATTCATGGAGTGATAATCAGTGAATCTAATTACTTATCGATCTCGATCGGTAAGTATGGTGATAGGTATTTGTCTGTTTGTTTGTCTGTCTGTTAGACACTTTCGTATGTTACGCGATATCTCACGAAAGCGAGGTTGAATCTGCATGTGCATTCATCATATCTCAGACCAAAAGCCTATTGATTTTGGATGAATTATGTCGTATAATTAGCGAGGTATTAATTAATTAGTGATTGGATACGCGGTGTCGCTATTGAGTCAGAGCAAAGGAATCGAATCGCAGATCGATAAGTCGGCGGTCACCGATTGCTATCTAGCCTTTTTCTTAGAGCTATAAGTTCGCATGATTCTTCAGAATGAGAGAACCCGTTGATAGTGAGTTTGAAACATAAAAGAGAAAGTTCTTGAAAACCCACAATTGGGTCAAAACTTACTTTTGATTCCAGCTAGCGTTTTGATTTCTTGTGCGACTCGTTTTTCTTCAATGTTTCCTTGTCGTTTGACAAGTTTGAGCATCGGCAGCTCATGAAGAAGGTCAATCTGGAAAAAGAAGGCGAAAGTTTAAATTAACAGGATGGATGCACTTTAACAAGATATATTTACAAGGATGTTTAAATCAGATCGAATATTCAAATTCATACAAATTGAATATCACATTTTCGAATACCTGATGATTTCAGAAACGAATCGAATATTTTTTTTTAATCCAAATGAATATTTTTTTTCAAATCGAATCAAATACCGTATTTCCAAGCAAATAAGTGCTTTTCTAGACCCAAAGTTTTGGCCTGATTTTGGGGGGCCGTCTTATTGGGCGAGTATGGTAATTTTATTTTTTCTGGGGTCAGCTTTATATTTAAGTAAATACCTCAGGGGCGATAACATGCCTCCCTGTCAGGTCAGTTAAAATGAATCACCGTTCTCGCATTGGGAATCTGGAATATCAATGCTGTGATTATCATATTTGAAGTTGCTGCATTTGTGTGCGCATATTTGATGTACTTTTACATGATATATTTACAAGGGTGTGTAAATATAAATTCATACAAATTTAACACCATTAGATGGCCTATTTCCTTGATTTCAGAAATCATTTCATTAGAGTATCATTTTAAACAATTCAAAGCCCCATGAGTCAAAACGGCTGTAACTGTAAAAAATAGAGGTACAATAATATATCTTGGATATTGAATGAATGAATCGTAGAAGGTTTGCAAAAAATGCGAATATCGCTTAGCCTTACGGTAATAAATGCACTTGATGTAAAGTAGGCGAACAAAATTAGTTACATCCAGCGACAAGAGCAAAATTACAGCAAAATTTTTATCCATGTGAGCGCATTTTTAACAAAAACTGTCGGATCAGGATTTTATAATTGATGAAAAAAATCTGGGTGGACACGGGCCACAGTAAAGGTCTTGGGAGCCGGGTTATGGCGCACGGGCCGCTTGTTGCACAGCTCTGTAATAGATAGTAGCTTGAGATTTCTCAGTGACCTTTGATACTATGACAAAGATTTCTTGGAAAAATCTATCAGAACATTTACTTTATTAAGTTTAACATTGCCGTTCTACATATTGAATAGGGTTAAATGGATTCCAAAGTTTTAACCAGAAATTGCCGTATCGAAACTCGCAACGATCATACTGTGCACTCATTCAGAATTTGTAATTTAGAAAGAAGATCTAAAAAGTTACAAACTACTAAAATTGCTATGTATGATACAGAAAATTTTTTCTTTTTACTTTTCAAAAGGGGGGGGGGTATCAGCATATCGACTTTAACTCACTTGATTAAAGATTTTATAATTTGTGACACAGCTCGTGAATAGATCATCTAAGTAAACACTCTTTTTTTCTATGTACTCAATTTGGAATTCCCACACCGGTATATAATAATTATAAAGCAATTGATACCAATTTATACCAAAGCCAATTGTTAATAATTAGTAATTATAAATTATTATAATTAATTCTAAATCAATTCGATTTGTTTAAACATCTCCGGTGAAATCAAAAGCTCTTATAGGCATAACAGTCAAAGGAAAATTTCAATCAAAGCACGGGAATCATTCTTGAAAGAAACTGTAGATAGAAATTTGATTGAACAAATTTGTCAATAATTAGTAAAATAATTGTTGAATAAAACAAAAAACATTATTAACAAAAAAAATTGTTGTTGAAAAGTAATTGAATCGATTTGTAAATAATTATTATAAAATAAATCAACAGACGTGATTAAAAATGTCAACTTCGAACGCTCAAATATTATTCGCACAATCACGTCAACAATATTCCAGTAACAAACATGTTTGCAAATCGATTAGGAGACGAAATTACCAGAACTAAATATAGAAAGGTAGATCAATAGTTTGTTTGAACGCGTAAACTGATCCTGGGAAATAATTACGGCCACACATGGAGTGGATGTTATGGTGTATTTTATATGTTATTCGTACATGGATATGTGATATTTGTTTTTATGTGAATTGAGCTAGTTATATGCTTCTTGTATGGTATATTGCTTGTTTGGGCGTGTAAACTGCTCCTATAAAATAATTACGGCCACACATGAAACATGTATAGAATGGAATCTTATGATGTACTCTATATGTGATTCATGTATGGTTAGGTTATGTGTGATATTTGATTGTTATGTGAATTGAGCTCGTTATGTGCTTATTGTATGGAATATCGCTTGTTCTGATGTGTAAACTGATCCCACGAAAGAATTATGGCCACACATGAAACACATATAGAATTTCATGTTATGGTGTACTCTATATGTATTTCATGTATGATTATGTGTGATTTGATTCTTATGTGAATTGAGCAAGATACCGGTATGTGCTAATTATTTGGCCTTTATTAATATATAATTAGGTTGTCCTTGGATACATAGACGGTTATTTGGTTATCATGCTTGGTATTTGCCCGGTTAAATGATATTTATGATTTGCACGGTAATTGCCTGGTTTTTGCCAAACAAATAAATAAAAAACAGAATCATGAAATCAGGATAGCAAACAAAACCTTAGACAAGGTTTAAAACATACAGAATAAACATGTGAGGTTTTGCCAAGAAGAAGTTATTTTATACACGCTCACAGGCACCCACAAATTGACATAAGGCACTAATTAAAATCAAAACTAAAACAGGTACAGATACGAAAGCCAGACCAAAATATACACAATGACAGGAGATCAGAAAAAAAGCATTTCTGAAAAATGTGAAATACCGGTAAGCTACTTTCATTTTCATTGGGAAGCCCATATTGGTTATCCTGTATTCACATATGGCCCTCGCTTGATAAACCTTCCTGCTATCCACACAGAAACTGACGTCATATACATTCTCACATGACACCTCAAATACAACATCGTCAGCCTATCATAGGTAAATAGAATTTGCATCAACACGCACAGATTGAAACAAGGTTTGTTGAAATGAATTTTGTTTTTGAACAAGCTAAACCGAAAGTACCAATATGGAGGTAACTAATTATGTTTGTCTACTTTACATCAAGTTGTGTAAAGGGACTGAAACCTATTGGCAGGTGAACACAACAGTCCCCAAAATCTTAATAGAACTAAAACAAGGAAAATGGGAATAAAATTATGGCCTAACCCTAACCTGGTACACATACTACGGGAGTACTGAAAAATTGTGTTCATAGCAATTTCATTTCCGGATTTTGAGCCCCGCCAAGACTTGACAGACAAAGAAGGGATTTTGGCTTGATTCAACTCAGGCCAATTTCCTTTTCCCGACCTTTGGGAAATGATTGGAATTAATGTGTTGATTTTATAATTTGATCATTTTTTAAAAAAAAATAGATTGACTTAAAATTGCATTTGTATTAATGGTTTTTATGATTACTGAAGCTTTTGGGTACAATCATACATAAACAGAAGTTGAAGTGTTAAATTTTAAAATTTTCCCCATTTTAGAGAAAAAGTGATATTTTGCAATTCTGTTATTTTGGTTACCCTGTATTACTGTATTCAAAAAAATCATTCCCTGTTATAACCCAGCTCAGGGATAACTTGCGGACCGCGGTCCGAGTTCGGACTTTTTGAGTATTTGATTCGGACCGCACCAAATTCTTTAGTTTGGATCATTAGCCCCATTTTTAAAGTTTCCTATTATAAAATGACTTTTATAGTTTTGAATATATATGAAAAGAATTATAACACCATAATAAATAATCTTGATTAGTTAATAATCATTAGTGGATCGAAGAAGTGCACAAATAATGAGGATGCTGAAATATATTATCTGGAAAGACTGGACCCAAATAATTTAAAAGTTTTGTATGCGGATCTTCGGTAAAAATAGTTGAGTAGCTCTGTTATAGACTATGACAAGCAATTCATAAGTTTCCTTCGATTTATATATACCAGGCTTCGGATCTTCGTTAAAATTGTTCATAGCCATGACCTAGCTTATAAAAACTCTGGATTCTCACCTCAATAAGCCTTCTGTTTTCAGTCACAATTTCTTCTGTAGTTCCTATCCCTGTGACGTACATGAACACGTACATATCTGGTCCCGAGAGTTGTCCGAATAAAGGAAATTGTATTGCACGATCCCATAATTGCTGTGAATAAAAAATACCATAATAAATATTTTGGGATTATTATTTAGGGGTTCACATCATTAGGTTTTGTTTGACATAAGATGCTGCACACTAACATAAGATGTATTTACAACAAACTGTAAACTGCTTGTCTGAGGAAGTATGATTTTAGTCAGACGAAACGTAGAAGAAATACATTTGTGTTAGTGTGCAGCAAGACCCTTGAAATGCATAGAATGGTATTTATTCCTGCTACAGCATCCTTGCATTATACAAATACAAACTCTTCAATTAGGTGAATATTATTAATATGTAAAATAGGAAATAATATTCTGCTGTCATGAACCCAATATACCTTTTCAATATGTAATTCAAGAGTCTTGCTGCACACTAACACAAATGTGTTTATGTAATGTTTGGTCTGATGAAAGTTAGGATTCCTTAGACAAGCAGCTAACAACAATCGGTCTTACTACTTACTGAATAGAGCGTGAAGAGCACATAAGAGCGCAGTAGAGAGGGAAACATTTTTCTTTCATTATTTATTAGCGTCTATGAAATTTTAAACAATTTGATGGGAAGCAGCATACAGTAGTAGGGAATGATCACGAGTTTACACAGTATGTGTACCAGGTTAGGGTGCGTCATGTTTAGTTATTTGAAGATGTTGAAGATTACTAATATAAACTCGTGATCATTCCCTACCAATGTATACTGTTTCCCATCAAATTGTTTAAAATTTCACGGACGCTAATAAATAATGAAAGAAAAATGCTTCCATCTCTTCTGCGCTCTTTCCCTCTCTTCTGCGCTCTATTCAGTAAGTAGTAAGACCCAACAACAATTGTCATTGGTCAATAGGCATAGCGTGCAGCAGGACTCTTGAATTGCATAGTATAGTCATGTTTATTCCTGCTACAGCATCCTTGCGATACACCAAGCATACATATCCTCTATCACAGCGTTTCTCAATCTGTTCTAAATTGCGACTAAATTGGTCGCCATGCCGATCTCTGTCATACTTCGGTGGCTCTGGGTAAATTTGTCTCCCACCTGGCGACAAACAGGCGGACAGGCCTAGCTAGCTAAACAGGGGGACAGGCCTAGCCATTTAAACAGGCGGACAGGCCTAGCTATCTAAACAGGCGGACAGGCCTAGCTATCTAAACAGGCCTAGCTATCTAAACAGGGGGACAGGTCTAGCTATCTAAACAGGTGGACAGGTCTCGCTATCTAAACAGGCGGACAGGCCTAGCTATCTAAACAGGCGGACAGGCCTAGCTATCTAAACAGGCGGACAGGTCTAGCTATCTAAACAGGCGGACAGGCCTAGCTATCTAAACAGGCGGACAGGCCTAGCTATCTAAACAGGCGGACAGGCCCAGCTATCTATACAGGCAGACAGGCCTAGCTATCTAAACAGGCGGACAGGCCTAGCTATCTAAACAGGCGGACAGGCCTAGCTATCTAAACAGGCGGACAGGCCTAGCTATCTAAACAAGGGGACAGGTCTAGCTATCTAAACAGGTGGACAGGTCTAGCTATCTAAACAGGCGTACAGGCCTAGCTATCTAAACAGGTGGACAGGCCTAGCTATCTAAACAGGTGGACAGGTCTAGTGCTAGTCTGGAAAGCATGAAGTTTTCGTTAACCGTTGAATGTCATAAACCGTCTGCCTAACTTTTTTTAACTGTCAAGTTTACAACAACCTTTAAATTTTACCATAGAATCAGTTTTTTGGAAAGCAACCATCAATATTATCTTCTGATTTTTTGGTATTCTGCAAGGCAAGATAAAAACTGTAGGTGTTCTGAGGCAAAAAAAGATTGAGAAACGCTGCTTTAGTATGAAGGAGAGGGAATTAGTCTCGCACAACTTAACTCAGAATTACCTTTTTAATTTTTTCAATAGTTGAATTCCTTTCTACTTCCATAGGTATGTAGATTCCAGTGGGAAGCAAAAAATCCACCATGACATAAGCTGAGTTATGGTAACCCCACTCATCATATATCGTCTCCTCTTCTTCATGCTGGTTATGGTGGTACATCTTGCTCTGTAAGAATATTATTGTTTCTCAAGGTTGGGCTCGGCGATATGCTCGCCACTACACATCTGATTACCCAGTGTGAGTTTGCAGGTTCGAAACCTTTGGGGAATAATTATGTACGAGAGGATTTCTGAACTCCTTGCCACCGTCGGCTTCCTCCACCATTGACCAATTTTGTTGCCAAATAGAACGCATTATAAAAATTTGCTGCTCAGGTAATTTCAAGATTTTTTGTTGCTTAAGTTGACGTCAAATTGTACCAATTTTTAATTACTGGTAGACCAAACACTTACCTATAGATTGAATCTAGCGACTATCCAAAAAAACTGTAATATTTCCAATAAAAATTTGAAATCAGTCGGGGGTTGGTGTATTTGGTCGTATAATGATTCACATTTTTGTGATATTTATTATGAAAGTCTAAACCTAACTGTTAAAAGATAAATCATAGTGTTGAACATGTTGCAAATTTAAGTAGGAAAACTTGGACGTTCATGAGCGGTGCATGGATGGGATAAAAACACAAGTAGCAAAATGTGACCACATATCGTTCATAAACGCCTCTTTGATAACCGTATCGCTCGCTCACGTCCATACCAAAACAATTTCATTGCTGTTGCTATTTTATTGATGGTTGTATTTTTTTGGTTGGCAAAATAATAAATCTCTTCCCATTCCTATCAGCCTAACTGTTGAAAGTAAAATTATAGCAATGTAGATGTTGCAAATTTAAGTGAGAACACTTGAAGCTGATTTTTCATATTCATCTCAACTTCATTACAGGAACTAAGACAGTATGAAGAAAAATGTGTCATGACAGTTCAATTATATGGACAGCAAAGGCTTCTTGTTCAGCTATCATTGTCCTTTCTTCTATTCGAGATGAAGCGCTTGATTTTTTAACTTTTTCCTAAGATTCTGTAATTTCATTTTTATCAAATTTTTTAAGCAACGTAATTGAATGAGACGGGGACTGTCTCCAACTGTCAGAAGTGATAGACCTAAGTGTCGCTGCTTGATAACCAGACTTGGTTCTCAGACCAGACTTGCGAACCGGTATAATTTAATTTTTATCGAGTAGTTTCTGAGTAGATTGTGGTGTGTGTGTTTCAATTAATTTTAATACTTTTGAGTGAGCGAACGGTACCACATCTTTCCGCAGCACCTTTCAGTCTAACTTCTGTAGGTTTTAAACTTTACTTAAGATTTTGTTCGCTTTCCTGATTCTGTAATCAGTTTTATATTGTTTTCATCATTTTTTTATCGTCTTTCAACGTTCAGACGTTAGCTGATTACAGGATTACGGAGTTGAAATAAACTTATACTGTCTATTGCCCTTAGCAGGTTACTTATAACAGTATAACCATTCGACAAAATATTGAGCTGTGTTCATCTCCCTCAAATAAACCCGAAAAACGCTGAGCGTATGCTGCTGCGTTATACAGCAGAGGAAGCCATAGCGTAAAACACAAATCTCGTAAACAACTACTTCCTTGTCGTCACGCTTCATCTCCTTTCATTGCGTCATGCGGCGAGTGTCTCCCATTTGATACATTCGTCATGAGATTTTACTGAATTATTGTTTCCAATGTGCCCGAATTTCCTATTTTCTTAGTTGGAGACGTACACATATGTGCTAGGAATGAAAATATTTCCGTACAACGCAACCATTGTGGGTCACGACTAACTTATTTTTTTTTTTAATAAATCGACATTTCGGTTTTTCCCCTCCACAAAACTAACATGAAATAGTTTGCTCGAAATTCCTCATATTTACCTGCATTAGTTTCATTGCGTTGACATCTAGAAAAGTCTACAAGATGTACTTCTTGCTTTTTTACCTCTGGTCAAATTACTTCCTGGCCACCATTACCTATTTATATCTGGACACGAACAGCTTCAATGTTATGTAACATCTATGGTGCCATATACCATATCCACTAGTTTAGTGAATGGCCACCTGAGTCCAGAAAAAATTTTCAAGTTTAAGGAACTTGAAAAATAACATAACTTAAAAACATAAAGTAGCAAAATGTAACCGTGGCGCGGCGGTGTGGCTCAGCGTTAGGAATACGCTCGCCACCGCACCTCTAATTACTCTGCGTTGGTTCGCAGGTTCGAATCCCATGCAGGGATGGTTATGTGCGATTGCTGGACTCCTCGCCGTCGTTGGGTAGTTCACGTAACCGCTGGTCGGTTACGGCTTCCTCCACCACCAAGTCCATGCTTCCGAAAACAAACAATATAACTAATCCCATACCCGACTTGGAATGGTAACCGAACGAGAGGCCGTGGTTCGCCATATGGATAAGCCGTCTTATCAGCTTTCTTCTCCCCCGGGATAAATATGTAAATCCCATCCTAATCGCATATCATTGTGATCCAGCCTCCTCTTCAAACCAGGCTCGCTCGTATTCATTCTGAAGGATTACTCAAGACCAACAGAACATTTAACATGGTTTGTTTTGGAGTTCCAATAAGTTGCGAGAGGTTTCTGGTAATAATACCCCATATCGCCTTCCGAATTAATATTTTTGTATGCAGTACTGACTAAAATCTTTCAAAACAACAGGTTTCATTATAAGCTGCTTGTGTTTGAATGGTCAACTTTTTTCTTGCTAATCAAAAAGAGTCAGGTCATCTAGAGCTGAAATTGTAGGAACCATGTTTATCAAAATAAAACATTTTTATATGGAATGATATGTATATTTTCAACACCAAAAACTACACAATTATTTGTACAAGAACAACAGTAATCCAAGCAGTAAAAAGCAGAGGGATATTTGCTAAGCAGAGCAAAAATGGTCTCTAGTCCACCTGCGAGAAACTTCATAAACATAGTAGCACATGCACAACTAGAAAGGAACAACAAACGATAAGTTCAACCAATGTTTTTTCAAACTTCATCAGGGCAGTGAAGGAAATATGGCCTGTTCATTCAGACAATCGTTTGCTTCTTAATATTTGTACAAGGATTACTATGAATAAGCTTGGTAGAAACCACCCGCTAATCTTATCATCGAGAGATAATGAAGTTTGATGACATGCATTGGGCATGGGAATACAATTTCTAAGTAGAGCTGGCATGTGTAGGACCTGAATAAAGTGGGGAATGTAGTGACGTAATCAAACCAAATGCTCTGCATTGCAGGTGACCCAAAAGATTAGCTAGGGTTAGATTAACAACTCTTCCAATTTACACAAGATTTGACAAGTGTGCCATTGGATCGGATTGTAACATGTTATTTTGGGGTCAAAACACCTTGGTTTATAGACAAATATCCCTGGAACTTGAATGAAATAGAAAAAATAAGTGAAAATGAATTACAATGTACAAAGTCATTGATATATACAGCTAGCTAATTATATATGCAGTGCTTGTGCCTTGAATAAATGAAATTTTTCAACATAACACAGAAGGTGTTACATGGGTTATCAAACACAAGAGGCAGTTAATTAAATTTTGAGGATAAGTTGTTTTTATTCAGTGAAAATTAATTACATATGTATTCGAGAATACTGTGAATTTTTATAAATCAAACATTGACTGACTTTGTGGCTTTTCATGTTGACTGAAAAATAGGAGATCCTGCGCTGATATAAATCTCTTATAACATCCAATACAAAGCTACCGTATATCTACCGTTAAATAGTTTCGTTCAGGGCAGTGGATCATTGAACTGTCTCTTTAAACATAACTGTGGTTCATAGTAACAATGTATAAGAATAGAAAGTGAGAATGGAAGTGAAATCCTAGGCAGGTTAGGGTTCTATGTACATTCAGATGAATAGAGCAGGCAAATAACGACATCTCAAAGAATGGACATCTTGGTGCGTGTAAACATTTATATAGAAAGACAGCTCAAACAAAACACATATATACATTTGTGGGTATCCACAGAAGTATGTGTACCAATATGGGGGGGAAATAATTTTGTTCAACTACTTTGCATCAAGTTGTGTAAAGGGACTGAAACCTAAGATCAGGGGATATATTTACCCGGCTAACACAGACAGTCTCCGAACTTGTAATAAAACTAAAATAAAGAAAATTGGAATAAAATTATGGCCTAACCCTAACTTGGTTCACATACTACGGGAGTACCCATTTGTGACCGAAAGTTTTTTATGCCCAGAATAGCTGATTCGGAGCGTATTGTTAGTAGACAAATAGGATCCGATGTTTTCTTGGTTAGGATAATGAATCAGCAGGCCAGCGGCGAAAAAATTAAGATGCAGGGCAAAATGGCGGTCCGCACGAACTAATAATAGAGAAATTTGATGATGGCCGTTCAATATGATACTATTATGTTATTTGATAAATTGTATGAAAGAACAACAACAAAATTAATATGATTCATGCAAAACAAATAGGATATTTACAAGTATTGAAAACCCCATGTGAAGGGGAATTTGGGAGCGGAACACAAACTTTTTTATTTTATGCAACGCTCATTCACACTAGGATTTAGTTCTTTTAGATTTAATATAACTTCGAAAATTGGCTTTTATATCGAACTTTATAAAAACTTAATGACACTGCGACAGCTTTTTTACTTTCCCCAAATGTAACAGAAAAATTAGCAATTCTTTGATTGGCAATTCAATAGCAGCAGAACAGTAACAATTGAGGCAGTTTTTGTGGGCAGACGGCAATTTAAAATAAGACACATAAAACCTTGAAGAAACACATAAATTACACATAGAGAGCACATATAATATAAAATATTTCAACCTAATAAAATGCGTAAACATATCCGACACGCTTTATATACTCCACAATTTTTTTTTAAATTACATCTTAGTCTTGTAAGAGCAAGTGGCAATTTTTCACATTTTTGAACTATTCAGAGACGAGTTTCAGATTTCTAATGGTGATAATAAAAGTTTCTGACAAAAATTAAAAAAGCAATGAATTGTTAAGACAATGAAAGAAGTTGAATTGTGTTACGCAGGACTCAAAAGTTCTGTCAATCATCTTAAAATAGTTTTCAAAATGGCTTAACGTTTCGTTGAAATTTCTGTCAGCCTTGTCTAACAGCTTAAATTTGATTATTCGGCGACATTTAGTGTCGCCACATAAAAATTATTATACATAAGATAAAATCAATTGTTCCAATATGAAGTACAAAAAGTGGATAAAAATACTAAAATTTGAACATTTCTGAATAACTAACTTCTACAATTTTTTTTACAAATTCTAAAACCTTTAAAATAGTGCACTCCACAAAATCACACATTTGAGAAATCTTCGACAGACACAAAAGAGTAATTTTGAGAGAGTACGCAGATATAAAAGCAATAATTTTGAGTGGTAAGTATCTGGCAAAAAAATTTGTTAGAATAGCAAGTCACTCAAGCACACGAGTCCTGTCTTGATCACTTCAGAAATACTACATAGTGCGGTTTGAATAGAAAGATGGCCACCTAGAAATAGTCAATCGTTCAGATATGGGCTACTGTCGTCTTGGCCACTTCTGTATTATTTTTTTAACATGGTATAAATCAGGGATGTCCAACAATCGTCCCGCGGCTCACCAAGCCATTTAGTGTGGCCCTTGTCAACACTAAGATTTTCCCCATTAAGCATAAAAAGCAAAATTGTTGCAGTATTAAAACTTTCGCCGTTTTGGCCAGTGCATTTATTACTGTAAGGCTAAGCAATAGCCGCATTGCATTATCTTCTATGGCCTTTCCCGCTAAATGTTTTGTGTGGCCCGGCTAAATGTCTGAAGTTGGTTATATGGCCCGCCGACAAAATACGATGCACACCCATGGAATAAATAGTACGAACAAGAAGAGAAGCCCCTGATAAAGGGTTTTAAATTCCCCCCTCTGCGTTCTTTCTCATAAGAAATATGAAAATATTACTATAAAGTGAGGAAACTTTACAAAAAAGACATTCGTGTGGTAGGTAGTAATAAAGTTCCATCCATGTACAATATCTTTTATGGAATATCACACCCAGACAAAATACAGCCTCCTTTAAGCGTTTCTTTCTATAATTCTTTCTATAATGTTATATTTGTTTCTTGTGTCAGAATTTTTGGGTGGTATTTTCCGAATACACATAATCAGGTCACTAGAATAGTTTAGTCTTTAAAAAGTGAAACAGTTCTTTCATTCGGAGACATTTCCCCCAAAACAGGAAAAATTGAGAGCAGTACTTTGTAATTCCTCTTATCGGGGTACACTTTTTAAGCCTTCTTCCCTCTTGTTGCCCGTTTAGATTTCCTGACAGGAGCTGGGTCCTCAATCTTCTTAGCCTGAGACGCTTTCGTAGCGGGTGCCGTTGGTTTCTTGCCACGTGTAGTACGCTTTGGCTCATCTGCGACCTTTTCTACTTCTTCAAGCGCTGGTGAACCATGATTTCTTCTCTTTGGTGCATTTTCAATTGGGGCTTCCGTCTTGCGCTTACGACGACCTGTAGTGGTTGTTTCTTGTGTGATGGGTTTATTTTCAGAACTTGCTGTGTTTTTAGAGCGACCCTTAGTGGATAAGCGTACATTTTTTGCCTCTGGTTCAATCTCGGTGTTAATAATGTTAGATGTCTTTGAAGCACGAGATGATCGTTTAGCTGCCGCAGATACTGGTTTTTGCTCAATTTTAGTTTCTTTCTCTGGTCGGGATTCAACATTCTCCTTTGACTTTTTTCGTGAGCGAGACGATTGTTTTGGCACTACCGGTGCAACTTCTTCTGATGTTATTTGTTGTTCTGCATCCACGATTTTCTTCGATCTTGATTTTCTCGATGTTGGTGGGGTGGTTTCAGCAGCTTTTTCTGTTACCATGGGTGGTTCCACATCAACAGTCTTCTTCGATCTTGATGACCTTTTCGACACCGTTGTTATAACAACCTCTTCATTCACAGCCGTAGCTTTCGCAGTATCCTTAGCTCCACTTACAGAAGCCTTTTTACTAACTTTACTATCTGAAGGAACTTTTTCTGCAGCAACTGCTTTGCCTCTGCGAGTAGATCTGGTAGGAGCGGGCCCTACAGCTTCTGGTTCAGGTTTTTCAGCAGTGGCCTTGGTTGTTCTAGTTGTTTTGCCACCTCTTGAAGTTTTGTCTTCTGATGCAGCCGACTTTTCTTTTTGCTTTGAAGAAATTTCCGTTTCATCTTGCTCTGCAATAACTTCGAGTGTTTGTTCCGTGGATGCTTTGCGACCTCTAGTCGATCTTTTAGTTGTCAAAACTTCTGTAACTTGTTGAATCGCTTCATTTGTACGAGCACGAGACGATCTTTTTGGTTCTGTAGCTTCTTCCACAACAGCTTGACTTCCTTTTTTGCCACGTGCTGATTTTCGAGCGGCCACTTGTTTTATTTCAGCATCTACTACTTTTTCAGCTTCAATGGGAGCATTCATTTTTGTCGTGGTGGTTTCGTTAACAATAATTTCTTCTTGTGCTAGAGCTTTACGAGATCTGCTGGATCTTTTTGGTTGGATATCATCTTGAGCAATGTTTTGGGCCTCAGTTTCTCTGACGTCCGATTTTACCTTCTTCTGCGGCATGACGACAAAATCATCTCTCAGGGAAGACGGAGTCTTTCGTTTTCGTGTTGATCTTTTGCCTGAATCCTCGTCCAAAACATTTTCGATCGCTTTCTTATCAGAGCCTTTCTTATTTTCAGCAGTTTTCTTAGTTCTTGGTGCCCGCCCACTTCTCTTACTTCTAGCAGGTGAGTTTTTCTCCACATTCTGAAATTCCGTCTGTTCTGGTTGACTGGTTTTCTCAGCAATAACTGCCGTAGTTTGTACGTTTTCGTCATCTTTTCCAAATAAACTATCCAATCCATATTCCCCATCAATAGGCTTGTAAACGACTTTTTCTTTCGGTGTTTGCAGTAAACGTTTCAAGCCAAATTTTTTCTCCACTGGTGCGTTCTTTACTTTATCGGTGGGTGTTTTCAGTAAACGTTTCGTGCCAAAGTGTTTTTCAACTTCCTTGTTTTTCGTTCTCTCTTTTGGCGTCTGTAGGAGCCGCTTGGTTCCGAAATTCTTATCCACGGGTTCGTATTTCGATTTTTCTTTCGGAGTTTTGAGAAGCCTCTTTGTTCCAAAATGAACCTTGACCTCTTCACCTTTGACCCTGGGTGTCTTCATCAAACGCTTGGTGCCGAATTCGCCATTTATTCCAGTAGCCTTGATTTTCTGTTTGGGAGTCTTCATGAGACGTTTTGTTCCGAGATTTTCCTCCACTGGCGCATTTTTTACCTTTTCTTTTGGAGTTTTGAGAAGTCGTTTTGTGCCGAAATGAGATTCGACAGCGCCGTACTTTTCTTTGGGAGTTTTCTTGACAAATTTAGGATTCTGTGTTTCTTCAGCGGCAGATAGAATCGATTCTCCCTCAGTGAAACTCTCCTCGCTTGAGTAGTCTGTGCTCATGTTGAAGTCAACTGGAGTCTGTGAAAAAGAAATGGAAAATTTAATAAATATAAGTACCATTAGTATTAATGTGCAAGCTCTGTTTTTGTTTTCTACGGCAGACCAGTGTTTCTCTAACTTTTTTTGCCCCGGTATAATTACGCTTATAATCTCGCTTCGTGAAACAGAAAGACATTAGTTAGGAGGTAAAATTGTTGAGTGGTTTTTAAAACATTTAGCCTATGGTAAAATTGAAACATTTGCTATAAACTTGACAATTAAAAAATTAGGCAGATGGTTAACGAAAATTCCATGGTATTAATAAGACTGGCACGAGTCCTATCCGCCTGTTTGTCACCAGTTGGAAGACAAATTTATGACCCAGAGCTGCCGAAGTACAATCATGATGAATTGAGTTGGCAATAGCTAAATGCTAAGATTATGCCCTTCAAATACCAATACCTTCTTATATTTTGGTAGATGATAGTGGCTTCCCAAATAGGGCAGAGAGAAAATCAGAGCTGAATATGAGTTGTAAAAAGATCGAAGCTGGAAAATTTTAGAGCTTTTAACTTGCAATCGTGACCCGAGATCTTAGCCTCCTCCTTCTTTCAAAATTTTTGGAAGACTGAACAAGTCGCTAATAACGCGTGTGGTTATATTTTGCTAAAATCGCTGTTTTCGTCAGCGCGTCGTGTCATTTAGGCCGCAAAAATCTTTAAAACGATGCTTATTCTTTCTAAATCACAAATTTCCCTCCCCCTTCTGAAAATCCTGGCTGCGCCCCTGATCATGACAATAATTAATTGAATTTTTTCTGTCTATTGTGAGTCACTCACCATGTCTAAATCATCATCCATTCTTTTCTGAGTTCGTCCAATATAAATGGTTGCGGGTGAATCGGCATGACGCAGGGCTCGAATTTGTGCAGGAGTTTTAGCAACTGGTCTTCGTGCACCTCTGTTAGCTGGCTTGGATTGCTGTAGGAAAAAGGAGATGAATAAAGAAATTTTGATAATAAATTAAGAGTGAAAAAATAGATACTCCAGTAGTATGCGGGCACCGGAATGTAGTATGTGTACCAGGTTAGGGTTAGGTCATAATTTCAGGTACAAATACTAAAGGAGTCACTTGGCTAGTCTCATAACTCGTGATAGAACTAAAATAAGAAAAATTGGAATAAAATCATGGCCTAGCCCTAACTTGGTACACATACTACGTTCCGGTATTCGCCATCTTGGTTCACATACTTCGGGAGTACCGAAATATTTATAAAAAAAGGGTCCCTAATTCAATTGTCCCCTATATGCATTTATATGTGATTCCAGGCCCCAGTTATATTCGGCCAATGCTAACAAGAAAGATACCGGCTTAAAACACTATTAAAACCGTACTCACCACAAATAATTCAGCGGCAGTAGAAGTCGTTGTTTTAGTCAGTGGTTGGTTGTCTGCGTTCTTTCTGACAATCTCTGACCATAGGAGGACACCACTCTTCCTGTTGGGGGAAAAACATTATATTTAATAAAGAGAGAAGAAAAAAAAATTTGGTAGAAAAACCGCATATTTAATGAAGAGAAATATACTTAACAGGTTTTAGTTTAGAAATTTGACAGTCAGGCTAAAAAAAGGTTAACTTTGAGCCACTAAAAGGCTGTTGATTTCTTTTTCAAATATTCAACGAGTTCTGTGAGATTCCATATTTCAGCAATAATTCTGCAGTATTATTTTGATTCATAAAAACACTTTTCTATGTCCTTCTTCCCCCTTCTTGTGTATATTCATCTATATTGGGACATATTTTATTTATGAAGTAAAAAAACAACTAGAATAAGAAACCAACCTTTTTACTCTCAAGCTTTTTCTTCTGGCAGATTTGGAAATTGATTTCCTGTCTACACCACTTCTGCGAGGAGTTTTCTTCGCAAGAGATTTTCTTCTCCCTGGGGTGACACGACTTTTCGTTGCAGATTTAGGGGTCTCGGTGGTCTGTTTCTCCGCAGCTTGGGTCAAGTTTTCTTCATTAGGAAAAGTAGCGATATCTTGGGGTGAATTAATTCTCAAAGATGACCTTCTTCTGCCTGGGGTTGTCAGATTCTGCTTTGCAGATTTAGGGGTCATAGTAGATGGTTTCTCCGCAGCTTTGCTCTCGTTTTCTTCATTAGACGGAGTCGCAACCTCTTGTGGTGATTTAATTCTCAAAGACGAACGTCTGGAATTTTTGTTTTCAGATTTTGGTGTTTTCCCAACACTTTTCCTACTTAACAGCAAAGATTGCTCCAAAATCCCAAAGTCATACGACTCATCGAAAATTTTTTCAGCTTCCTGTTTTGGCATCTTCTTTGCTGATGACATTGGCGTGACCTTGTTATCGATATAAGAAGATTCCAGATTTTCATTCATTTTCGGGGTATTTTTTACCTCATCTATCTTCCGGACGCTTTTCTTAGCTGATTTCGGCGTTTTACTGATTTTTCTCGCTGGGGTTTTTCTTTCAATAATCTGTAGTTCAATGTACGACGAATCAAATTCTTCTTCTTCAGAATTCATTGTGACATCATCATCCCCATATTCTGAGGTCATAGGAGTGTTTCCAACACTTTTCGGAGTATTTGAAGTTGATTTTGTCGTGGACAATCTTGGAGTCTTGCTTCCTGTTTTTGGAGTTGCTTCCTGTTCAATGACCTCTGACCCCATATTATAAGAAAGCGTGTCATCAGTGTCATAGTAGCTGTCATCAACATCAACTGTTAGTAGCGTCTTTCGGTTGGACTTCGGAGTAGGTCCGACACTGTTACGCTTCTCACTTGGTGTCGCCATAGAGATTTCATTGTAAGGGACTGTGTCGTCTGAACTAGGATTAATTTCGTATTCAGAATCCTCTTCTGCACCCTCAAGCGGTTCGGCCATTTTGGGGGTTTGGAGTTGCACACTTGTACGCTTGCTCCTTCGCCCTGGAGTGGTGCTCTTCCTCTGTGGTGCCTCAAGTGGAATCGTATCGTCAAATATGTAATTTATTTCAATTTGCGGCTCGTTGCTTGGTTCCAGAATCTGTTGTGTAGCTTTCACGCTACTTCTGCGTTTTTTGGGCGCAGATTTTTCGACTGGCTGTGGAACTGGGGAGTCGTAAGGTATAGTATCATCTAGCGCCATCTTTTGGATGCTATCTCTACTTTCTTTGGTCGCGGATTTTGGGGGAACCACCCCTGGGGAGGGCTCATATGGTACGGTATCATCCAAACTATTAATATGTGCAGATTTGATGCTGCTACGTCGCTTTTTGGTTGAGGATTTCGGTTTTACTGGCGAAGCTTCATATGGCACTGTATCATTCAGTATACTCTGTTGTGTTGCATCAGACGTAAGAATCTCCATTTTCATACTACTTCGTCTCTTTTTAGCTGCTGGTGTATTATTTTCAGCCACCACAGAAGTTAGGTTAGAATCAGAATTTATATCAGCAACCTTCGATGCCTCCTTTTCCCCTAAGCTTTGTCTACGAGCTGGGGTTTCCACTTTTTCCTCGATCACTTCAACATCATTGCGTTCTGCATCAAGTAAGTCAGGGCTCAATGGTCGTGTAGCATCAACATCCGGATCACTCTTTCCAAGACTTTTTCGTCCACTAGGGGTCTTTTTAACAGGAGTTTTTTGAGGTCCAGTGGGAGTCGAACCGGAAGACACAAGTTCTGCAACCTCGTCTGGCGTTACCTGCTTGCTTCGGCGCATATTTGGTGTTTTCTTTTCCTCAGCTGAGTTTTCTGGTGAACTTTGAGTTGCGGTTTGTGGAGTTGCTTGCTTTCCAACGCTCCGTTTTCTCCCTGGTGTAGACTTGTTTTTAGTCGGCTTGTTCAAACCAACTAATTCTACTAGCTCGTCAAAACTACGTTTTCTTTGTGGTTTTTCTGCGCTTTTCGGCGAAGGCTTTTTTCCTATACTTTTACGTTTTATGATCTTCATGTCACCACTAGGAGTGCCCTTCGTTTCCCTTAAAACACTCTGTCTGCGAGTAAGAGCAATTGGAGTGTTTCCAAGGCCCTGCATGGGTAAAGCACCCTTTTTAACGGGGGTATTAGGGGGCATGAACGCAGCGAACTGCTCTGGACTAAGCTGTGGCCCGAACGATACTCTACGACTTCCTTGCTTGACACGTTGAATCAGAGTAGATTGCGGCGTTCCCATACTTTTCATCTGAGATTCTGTCATGTTGTCAATGTTTCTCATCGATGGTGGATATTCAAACCTAAAAAATAATGCAAACTGCATCATGTTCAACAATAAATACAAGAAGACAATATATATCTGATAAGCTTAAATTTGGAAATGTTGAAAAGTTAACTGTGAGTTGTTCTTTATTTTTGTGGTTGTCAGAAATGAAAAGGCTTTTTTCGAACAATACGGGGAATGTGATCAATCAAACTAATAAATTTTTGGAATGACTAAGTTCAAGATTATTTTTGAAATATCAAATAAAATTGATTGTAATAATTGATTCCTTCAATTTTATTTCTAAGCAAATTCTGTCGATACCAGGAAACCTCTCAATCCTAAGAAAAACCACGCCGACAAGAATTGCAAAAAAATGACTTTAAGTATCTAGATCAGGACAGGGGCAGGCAAATTATTGTACCAGGAGCCCAGTGGCTGGCCACGTAAGTGTAACATAAAAATGTACATTTTATGAACAATATTCACAGTGTTACAAAAGAAAAAGTGGAAAACTATAAGCCTCATGCAGAAACAAGTTCAATAAATTCAGATTTCAATAACAAGTGCGTAGAATTAATGTAGTGCATGTAAGATTGTTGGAAAGCAGAAATTTATAGCATCATAGGGCAGATTCAATCACCTAATCAGCCAAATTTGGCTCGTGAGTCGTAGTTTGCACATCAGGATTCTAGATTCCTGAAGTTTTTCAAATCAACTCATCTCACCTGAAAGAACGACCAGCAATAGTTAAAACATCATTGTGATTAATTGTTGCATCATTGTTAACTTCCTTGTTATTGACCAATAGCTCACCTTCCTGAATAAAAATGTAATTGGTTAAATGAATCAATTCTTCAGCGCATTTATAACTAGTCTTGCAATCAGGGTGGTGCAATGTCCAAGCAGTTAATTGAAATGTTAGTTTTGTTGGTATTGCAACTAACGTATATCGGTTTTGAATCTCATGTCCACCATGTCTACTACGTTGAATACATGGGGATGCAACCTGCGGTCTCAATGAGAAGTTCACCAAATTTTAAAATGATGAAGCGATTTAGTAATTAATTGAGCAAAAATTAACATGTATAGGAATAATCTATATCTGTACTTCAGAAACAAAGTAGCCTTAAAGATACGAGTGCTTGCTTGTCTGAGTGGGCCCACATGATGGGGGGCGCAGATCGGTTGGAAAGGGGCCACAATGCCATCCACACAACTTTTTCCTTTGCAAGCAAACTCCCAATTCCTCCCTATTTCACAGGGTGTTTTCACTTCGTTGAGCATGAATTGGACATAATTGGAGCCATAAAAGTCTCTGAAAGTGGGTCACAAGCCATAAAACATTGGGAACTAATGTTGTACACATTTGATGTATTATATTAAGATAAACGTGAAGATTCTGGTTTTTCTACAATCAAATTGATTTCCTATGTATCTGTGACGGATTAGCTATTGCCTTATTCAGAGTGAAGTTATAAAATATCAAAATTATATCAACAAAATGGACTCTGGCCAAGTAAATGCTGTAACTGTTTCAATACTTCAAATAAAAATGCGATTTGAAATGAACGCCGTAGCTGCTTAATAATACTGAACAAAAATATGATGTTTGTCTGGTGGGAATGACTTTCACATCCAGACATCACATTTTTATTTGTCGTTTTTTAGGCATTTACTTCGTTACACCCAAAGAAAAGTTCGCACTTGATTTATCTTTGAGAGAACAAAGTTTCCATTTTCATCGGCTTGGAGTTTGCATTCCCTGTCTGAAACAGTCGGGAGCTGAATTCGAATCTCACAATCAGCATCTCTGAAACAGGAAAATAAAAAATAAGTGAAGTATCATTTTATTGTGTTTGCTTTATTCCATTATTTTACGTCTGTTGTTTTGACAGTTGTCTGAGTTGTAGATGACTCAATGTAGAAGGGCATTTTTCTTTTTAGAACTTAGCCTGCAGAATTGTGATTGAATAATTAACAAACTACAGAACTACTGCAGATTGGGAACTATTTCCGTATTTTGTCAGGGCATTTATTCAAACACATGCCCGTACATTACATTTCTGTATTTATAGGCATACCAGTACAGTACTGCAAGAATACTGGCTAACTGCTGAACTGGTGCCAAATTTCTTAAAATTAAAAAAAAAATTAATATAAAAAAAAATCTCACCTTCCGAATGTGCAATTATTATTAGTCACTGGATATTGCGATCCACTCGTCCCATTCCTTTTAATAACGGTTATTTTCCCGTAGATATTGGCCGACATTTTCATTTACTTGCCGGACCAAAAACAATCTCTCTTCAAAACATAAAAACTCCTGTTTTGTATAAAACTATCTTATTATTTATTCTAAAACCTGCAAAAATATTTAAAATCTCAATAAGTGTTACAATATTTCGCAAACACCAAACTAGAAAAACGAAAATAATTCAAATTACATAAATTGCTGAGACAGAAAATCGCAGACGGTACTATACCTGAACGGCTAAAAACAATAAAGCGACTTTAGCCTGTGACGCAAAGTGTTTCACAATTTCAAGTGTGAACTTATTGTTTATGTAATTACCGTGATAACAAAGTAATCAATCGTTAATTACAAATTTCTAATTAAGATAAAAAAGCGCTCACACTCCACGACGACTCGAAACGAAAAAATGCGGAGCGAGCAAGCGGGAATTTCAAATTCAAAACTTCCGTTTCCGTAGCGCCGCATGTGTTTACCTATTTTTCAGGAAAAACTTGATAGATTTATACGCTAGTACTAGTGATAGCAAAGAGGAAAAATTGGAAATACTTTAATTCAAATATTTAATTTATCATCCAATGTGTTTGCCACCAATGGAATTCAATTTTCCAATGTTTGGCCACTAGCGGCGCTAGCACACTGTCGACAACAATCAAGGCATTCCGTCCGCAATCGGGAAGCAGGGTTGCCATATTGGCTTTTTTAACGCCAAATTTGCCATTTTTGGCTTTTTTCAAACGCGTTTGGCGTCAGAATTTCCGTTTGGCTTTTTGGCGTTTTTTTGGCTTTTTTCAAATCTATTCTAGTGTCTATTATTAAAATCATATGAAATACAATATTTAGTGTGTAACAACGTACTTAGCTACTTAACATTAGGATTTCCTGGAGCATTAACTCTTAACCATATCCTACCCAATAAGAAATAATTGCAGTTTCTGCAGCTGCTCAGACAGATGTTCAAGCAGGGTTGTAAACATTGCCTCGTTTTCATAGTTTTGCCTATTTGTCAGTTATACATTCTGTTTTCAAAAAATAGTTGTATAACTTAATTTTCATATGCCTGTTATGGTTTATGTGAGCTTTAGTTTAATTCTGCAATTGCAGTAACGGTGTGATTAACTACGCTAAAATTACTGAATTAGATATCAATGGTCCACCTGTGAGCGGCAGGGGGTTAGATAATTTTTTAATAAAATTGATGGTTTATAAATTTTAAAAGTGAATTTTCAATAGTAAAGCACGATATACTGATATAGGAAGAATTTTTCAAGGTATATCACAAGTTTAAGTAGAAACATGTAGGTATATTACATACTGACAGACTGAGGCGGCACCCTGTATTGCATATATTGAATGGTAAAATGATGCTGTCCGCTTGATATTCATTTTACTTTCTACAGTTCTGGTCTATAGGAACTTTACTTTCTATTTGTGTGCCTCACTGAATGAACTGATGGCTCTACATCATCATCAGTACGTTGCCAAGGGCTTAAACCCAACAAATCATGGGGCTTTTGTACTTAGTAAAATTGTTGGCTTTTTCTGGCTTTTTTTATGTCTTGATTTGGCTTTTTTTAATCGCTGGGGTCTGGCAACCCTGTCGGGAAGCGTGCAGCTCAACATTTGCAAGTCACGGTGGGCGGTCGCGGTTTATTACAAAAAAATTTGTTTTCATATTAACGTGTAGATCGGGATGTCGATTAGAAAACATAATCGAATTAAACTTCATGGCGTATTGAACCGTCACCATTTCTAGTCGAGTGAACAAATAAATAACCCACCAACCGCAACATATGAAGAGGACGACCGTGAGCATCCCGCAATGCATTGTCCATGTTTCACGTAGTGTGATTATTTCTACATCTTTCTATTCTTATTTTTGCGACATTATGATATAATCAAGAAAATCGGAAACTACAACATATAGTTCGATTTGGACTGGTCAATTATGGCTTTCAAATTGCGAACTATGTTTGTAGCAACAAGAATAAAAGGCGCACTTGACGAAATTTTCATTAAACAATTTTAACACTTACCTATTTACGATGTGTCTCTTGAATTCGAATTGTCCGACCTTGACCTTAGGATCGTGAAAGCGTGACTGATTTCGATTTCACTTCGAACAGTCAATAAACAACAAATTGCTTTTATGCGCAAGTAAAATGTCGCCTCTTACTCTAATTAGGATTAGAGTCGCACATCCCTGTCTTAGGCGCGGCGGTGTGGCTCATCGTGATAAGCGTTAAGAATACGCTCGCCACCTCTAATTACTCTGCGTTGGTTTGCAGGTTCGAATCTCATGCAGGGTGGTTATGTGCGAGAGGATTGCTGGACTCCTCGCCGCCGTAGGGCGGTTCACGTAACCGCTGGTCGGTTACGATTTTCTCCACCATCAAGTCCATGCTTCCGAAAAACAAGTAACCAACTAATCCCATACTCTACATGGAATGGTATCCGGACGAGAGGCCGTGGTTCGCCATATGGATTAGCCGCCTTTACTCTCCCCCGGGATAAATATGTAAATCCTATCCTATCTTAGACAAGTAAGATGTTGAACATGTATAGGGTTTCTGTTTAAATGGTGCTCCCGAAGTATGCGAACCAAGATGGCGGACATCGGAACGTAGCATGGGTAACAGGTTAGGGCTAGGCGATTATTTTTTTTCCAATTTTCCTTTTTTTAGTCCTATTATCAGTTCGAAGACTAGCCAAGAGCCTCCCGTAGTATTTATACCTAAAATTATGGCCTAACCCTAACCTATACGCATATTACATTCCGATGTCCGCCATCTTGGTTCGCATACTTCGGGAGCCCCGTTTAAATATTATGCAGATACAATTACATTTTTGAGGCAAATAAACATGCATACGTTTATCTCATAGACAATGTAATATCACTTCTATAAAAATATTTGTTCAGGATATTCATTTTTGATCGTTTGTAATCTTATTGAAATAACTTTAGAGGTGGTAGGCATTATCTACTGTGAACTCATAAGTGCAAAGAGCGAAGCCAGTAATTTATTTATTTTTTCACCAAACGGAAAAGAACACTTCATGCAAATAAATATAAAAGCCAAGACTTTGATGATGGTCGATCTCATACCAACAAAAATGTCTATTATGCTGTTTTGTTATAAGTTATAACTGTTCATTCTGGTTGCAAAAAAATAAAACTCTCTCACATTATCTCAATAACAATGTTATGTATTTATTTCAAGTAAATACTGAAAGTTTGCTCCCGCCCTCAAAGATTTGCGATTGATTGAAAATTCAATTTGAACGTTTTGGTTACGGAAACAGAATCCAGTGTCGAACCTGTCCAATCGAAAGTGCGCCCGCGTGGCTATTTTTCGTGATGCAGATGTAAGGCACATCAAGCTGCCCCTAAACCGCAGAACGCGGATGGCTTGTTTTCATCGCTCGCGTCATTTATATTTCAACTTTATATATTTCTCTTCTTTTTTCAGGTAAGTATTTCTACTTGAGAACGCATTGTGTGAAGCCTAATACCTTCAATTTGAATTATTTTCACCGCTCCTCTAATATAATTGAAACATTGGAATCGTAATAAATCTCAGTGAATGTGTAACCCTTCTAAATAGGATTTACTCTCGAGAATATTTTCTAATTCATGAAGTATTTCAAACACTCACCTCATTACAAAATGGCGAAGTGACCAGACAATTAAACTGAATGACAGATAACTCTAAAAGCATTTCCCCGAAATCATGATATTTTTTAATCTTCAAACAAATTTTAACCGCAAGACTGACCGAAAACGAAAAAACAAATGCGCAAATTGCTTTAATTTTAACTCTGACTGAAACCTCAATAACAATAATTTGACAATCGTATTTTTCCATCCTAAAAAGTGAAATTCTCCGCCATTTTGTACCGTTATGTAATGGGATTTGTGAAAAAAGTATTATTGAAAATAACAATAACATATTGTCACATACAGGAGACGACAATTTCGTTCATTTTGTAAACATGAGTTGTTTAGAGTTGATACTTTAAGATTCAGTAGGCTTGGTACAATTTAATTATGTGAGTGCGTAATGTTTTGGAGGGGGCAGGAGTCAAAGAATGATTACTCTTACACAGTTGTACTAAAAAGGTGGGGCGTAGGCATTTTTTGAAGAGGAGTGAAGCTAATAAAAGTTTTTGTTTGAATTGATCTTGCCGCCTTTTTTTGTTTATTGTTTAAAGATTGCAGAGAGCTGTTGTGACAATTTTTGCTCGTTTTTAAAACTTATTCATTATTTACGTTCCATCCAAGTATTTTTAAATAAAACATACTCTTGCCTTACTATCTGTTATTTGTAGCCCATTATTAGCTAGTTATTTTTGAGATGAGACGCGAGACTTTGAATATCGGTCGGAAACCGAAGACATATCGATCGAAAGTTAAGGGATCCCAAAACAGAAACTGCTGTTCCGATTTATGCGCTCCATAGCGACACCGTGTGCCCCATCACTAATTAATTATTAACTCGCTCATTATACGACATAATTCATCCAAAATCGATGGGCTTCTGACCCGAGATATGATGAATGCACATGCAAAATTTCAACCTTGCTTTCGTGAGATATCGCGTGTATCTAACAGACAGACAAGCAAACAGACAAATACCTATCAACATACTTACCGATCTTAAGATCGATAAGTAAAAAGGGGCATGTCTTGAAAAGTTTGAGAACCACTGTTTTAATAACAAGTCGGAATCGCGCGAATCGAGTTTAGATATGCGAACATTAGCGGCTGCATATGTATTCCAACGTTATTACTTTTGTATATTTATTAAAACGAAATTGAATTTATTAACCGGACTAGGGCCGTGGTTTGCCATAATATGATCAAGGAGTCCTATCGTTTTTTTCTCCCCCGGGATAAATATGTAAGTCTTTCCTTATTTTTATAGTTGTTGGCAGGTTTATGTTATAGAATCTATTTCTGTAATACCATACATATCCTTGTAATGAGTTCCTTGTGCACTATTTTAAAAGCTTCTTATTCCAATTCATGGCAGTAAGAGTTATTTTATTGGATCTCCAGAAGTATGTGCACCAAGATGGCGCACAACCTGAACATAGAATGTGCACCAGGTTAAGGTTCAGGTT